AAAGCCGTCATTCCAGCTTTGGGGACAGAATGTGTGCCCTTGACTCTGTGGGCTCATGTGCGCTCTTGACATTGGAGACAAAAGTTCAGAGTGGGGTGAAGACGGGCGGGCGTAAGCACGGAGAACAAGCAGCCCCTGCCTGGAGGCATATGAGAGGGCTGCTTATGTCTGCAGGCTAGAACAGCTCTGTCCCTCCTCTCCTGTCTGCTGTCAGTCTTCCTCAGTAATCATCCCTTCCCACACAGATGGACCTCATCTCTACCATCGGTGAGAGTGCAGCCCTGGGCTCAGCTGGTGTCATTTTCTGGGGCGACTCAGTGTATGCTTCAAGTATGGTAAGGGAAACCTCCCCAGCCAGCCATAACTGGGGGAAATTTATACTTTGGCTTCCACGCTCACCTGGGTATACACACTGAGTCTAGCTTGTCTGTCTCCTAAGCATGGAGGCTTTGTCCCTGAACCCAACAGAGAAGGGCACCCCCACCCTGTGTCCAGAAAGAGGAAATGCTGTCCCGAACAGCTGGAGTTCCACCCTTCCTCATCCACACAGCTGGGTTCCAGTCTGTCTCCACCCCACTCCTCACTAGGGACAACTGTAAGGGCTCAGGAACTGTGTATATGATATGTATATATGTATACAAGTAAGTGTGCCAAGGATGAGGTTCCAGTAGAGCACTTGCCTAGTCTAGGATTCCAACTCCACCACTGCAGAAAGAAAGAGGTGCTCTCACCATAGTGTAGATGGTTTCTGTCAGGGCTTTGGGCTGAAGCAGCTAACATCAGATGCTCACCTGTTAACCTTGGCCTCTTCCTCCAGGAGACCTGCCAGTACCTCAAGAATTACCTAACACAGTGGCTGGTCCCCTACGTAGTCAATGTGTCCTGGGCCACGCAGTACTGCAGTTGGACCCAGTGCAACGGCCATGGGCGCTGTGTGCGCCGCGACCCCAGCGCCGATACCTTCTTGCACCTCAGTGCCAGCAGCTTCCGCCTGGTGCCTGGCCGCACACCTAATGAACCCCAGCTCCGACCTGAGGGAAAGCTCAGCGATGCCGACCTCAACTACCTGCAGACGCACTTTCGCTGCCAATGCTACTTAGGCTGGGGTGGCGAGCAATGCCAATGGGACCTTAAGCGGGCAGCTGGAAGTGCCAGTAGAGCCTGGGCTGGACCCCACCTCTTCAGTCTGCTGGCATTGGTAGCCATGATCCTTACCTGGACCTTATAAGGGGGTCTCCCCGCCTGGGATATCAGTCCAGCTGACCTCTGGCACAAGGATCTGGGCGTGAGGAGCCTGTTGGGGGTAAACAAATGAATCTGGCTTGGGCAGAGCCCCCCCAGGATGCCTAGGAGGCATCCATACCAGCTGTCACCCCCCCTGTTCTAAGGGGGAGAGAAAAATCCCCTGAGAAGCCCCTCATCTTGCCGGAGAAGAAGGGAGGATACGGCTAGGCCAGGGAAGGCCTGACTCTACTCCACTGCTCCTGGATAGTTTATAATTTTGGGGTCTCTTTTGTAAATTAAATATAAAAAAGCTTCTGTGCTTGGTTTTTCTGCTTCCAGGCTAGAGTGTGCAAGGGAGCCCAGGGTTGTCTGTGAGTTAGGCTCAGCTCTTTGACTTCCTCGCCTGTGTGTTCACTGAGGCCTAGGAGGGCAGAGCTGTCCACTCAGCAGTTGTGCTGGGGCAGGACCCACTCGAGTAGGATTCACACTCTAATGCCAGTTTCACTTGATCTTGTTTGGAGTGGGGTTGGGCCCACCCCTGTGTGACTGACAAAGCTAACAGCGTATCTGCCACCTTTCCAAGATCCCAGGCTGGGCCCGGGCCAGCTTTCTTACCTCAACTACACTCGGAGAAAGGGGAAGTGGTGCCTAATCTTCCCGGATGTTCCTACAGACAGGGCATTTCTGCTCCCAGGAGAGTGGACTCCTGTCATATGCTGCTCCTGCCATCTGAGTCACAACCTTCTCTTGGGTCTGGGAGGGAGACTGGCAGAGGATTGATAATGTCAATCTTTAGCATCAGTCCCTGTTACTATGTAGGTGCTGTTGGGAACAATCCTGATCTGGGAAGAAGGATTATCCTCAAAGGTCAGCTTTGGAGCCAGATCACGAATGTGTGTGTGTGTGTGTGTGTGTGTGTGTGCTCAGTAATAAAACACTTGCCTGGCATGTGTGAAAGCCCTGGGGTTGATCATCTGATCACCAGCACCGTGTGTGTGTGTGTGTGTGTGTGTGTGTGTGTGTGTGTGTGTGTGTGTGTGTCCAGAAACTTCCATTAGTCCAGAAATAGCAGCCAGGGTAGTTGGAGCAACTCTGAGCTGCTTTATTAGGCCTTCCTAAGACAGGTGTTAGCCTCCATCATTCCTCCTTCAGACCCACTAGAGTGTCAAGTGATGACTCACCCTTTCAGCCCTGTCCTCAAGAAACACAGTGGCTCTACAAGTGTTCCCATGATTAGCTAGCACTAGGTCCTGAGTTCCCTCATAAGAACCAGAGAGTGAGAGCAGCCAGCAACCATGTTGAGATGTGAAAGGAATGTGGAGGAACCAGATGGTGATGTGTGCCTATTGCAATCCCTAACTTGGGAGGTAGAGGCAGGAAGATGAGGGATTCACACCCAGCCTTGGCTAAGAGGCCAACCTGAACTATATGGGTATAGCTCACATCTCTCTCTATATATATGGATACAGCTCAGGTATAATCTTAAAAGAGGAGCCTGCTGGTGGTGGCCCACACCTTTAGTCCCAGCACTTGGGAGGCAGAGACAGGTGAATCTCTAAGTTCAAGACAGCATGGTCTACAGAGTGAGTTCTAGGACAGCCAGGACTGTTTCAAAGAGAAACCCTGTCTCAAAAAAAAAATTTGGCCGGGCGTTGGTGGCGCACGCCTTTAATCCCAGCACTCGGGAGGCAGAGGCAGGTGGATCTCTGTGAGTTCGAGGCCAGCCTGGTCTACAAAGTGAGTTCCAGGACAGCCTCCAAAGCCACAGAGAAACCCTGTCTCGAAAAAAAACAAAAAAAAACAAACAAACAAAAAAAAGCAGTAAATAATTGCTGGAGAGCAACACTACCTACAAGTTAACAAGCTATTTCAAGGAAACAGCTTTTGTGTATTGTGCCTTTGAGTCACCATGCTGCTTCTGTAAGGAGGCACTCATGTTCTTCCTGTAATGTAACCAAAAAAGCAAAAACAAAAAACACTCATTGGCCGGGCATTGGTGGCGCATGCCTTTAATCCCAGCACTCGGGAGGCAGAGACAGGCGGATCACTGTGAGTTCGAGACCAGCCTGGTCTACCAAGTGAGTTCCAGGACAGCCTCCAAAACAATACAGAGAAACCCTGTCTCGAAACCCCCCCCCCCCAAAAAAAAACACTCATTGATTCATCACACTACACTTACACTTAGAATCATCTCTTTGGTCTGCCGTCAGAACCCTATCTGAAAAAGTCAAGCCACAGCCAGGAGGTGGTGGCCCACGCCTTTAATCCCAGCACTAGGGAGGCAGAGGCAGGCGGATCTCTGTGAGTTCGAGACCACCCTGGTCTACTGAGTGAGTTCTAGGACAGGCTTTAAAGCTACAGAGAAACCCTGTCTCGAAGTCAAGTCACACCAAAGATAACCAGAACTGCAGGGGTAGGGAAAGGTCAGGGTAGGAAGATGGGGCTGTTCAAAGACCCTAAGCATGCCCAGGTAGAAACACAAGTCCCATATGGTAGTCCTACTGTGAATGCCGGTGCTCAGTGGTCACCAAGTAAGAAGTTCAGTGGTTCAGGACCAGCACAGCTGCGGCCCAGACAGCATTTCACCCTGGGCAGGGCCGTGTCCTCTCTTCCCTTACTTTCCCAACCCTTGCAGGCAAGCCTGGGCCTGACACCTAGCAGATCTCAGTAGCCAGTCTATGACTCAGTGAACTAGTGAAACTACAAACGCATGAACACACATTGCATTATTTATGCGTGACTCACTAACAGACCCCTGCCCATTCCTGTGACCTCTCACACATGGTCCCAGGCACCGAGTCCCCACACTTGTATGCTTGTATGTATAAACCCCTGAGAATTTGGGCAGTCACCCAGTTACCACCTAGAGCTTCACAAAGACACAGTCACTGACCCAGATTATACAAAGGGTGATGACACACCTCAACTTCATGAACGCACAACCTCCCAGAAACAGAGACAGATTACCCATTAGACATGGCTGGCAGGCAGGGCTTAGAGCCACCAACCATACTTCTAGGAACCCACAAAAATGTTTTGTTTGACTTGTGTACATACATGTGTATTATATGTGTGCGTATGTGGTGTATTTCTCCATTGTTCTTCACTGTTTTTTAGTCAGCATTTTGCATTTACTTGTACTTACACATGGGCATGTGCATGCCATGGTGCTTGGGTAGCAGTCAGAAGACACCACTTGTCACAGTGGTGCAGAGAAAGCACCCTATAATAAGCACATAGTCCTCGGGGATCATGCATTTACTTGACCAGTATGTCTGGACACAATAGTTTTACCAAGTGTGTCCCAGGATCAGGCGTGGCTACAGGTGTTTCTACTGGCTGAGCTAGCACACTAGGCCTTCTTATATTTTAAAATGCCATTTTGAAGGGCTAGGGATATAGCTCAGTGATGGAGCATTTGGCTAGCAAGCATGAAGCCCTGGGTCCTAGTCCCAGCACTCACAGAGAAAGGAGGGGGGAAGAAGGGAGAAGGGAGAAGAGAGGTAGGGAGAGAGGGACAACACAAAAACATGTGTTTTAATGAGGAAGGGACCCACAAAAGCAAAAGTGCCTGGAGCCTGAAATGTCAGACAAAATGCTCTAAGTGTGAAGTCCTCCAGGACCACACATTTGCTTGACCTGTTGGTTATGTCTGCCTCAGCCCCAGCAAGTACACGAAGCCCTCCCCAAGTGCTGTCTGGGTGGGAGGGGCTGCAGCTAGTCCAGTCCCACCCTGTGCCAAGACCAGCCTATCAACTGGGCGGGGTGGCTACAAAAGCTCAGAATTTCCCCGGAGCAGCAGCTGCAGCAGCCACAGCAGCAGCTTCTCAAAGTTGCCGGGACTTGGGCCGTTTGCGGGACAGAGTTCAGCCAAGCCATGCTTGCACTTACACAGCGTGGCCAGGAAATCTGGAGAATGAAGTCCTTCAGTCCTGAGGTCAGCAGGGACAAGTGGGCAGCCGGCGGGTTTCCAGGGCTGGGCTCTTGGTCGTTGAGCATCCCTTTCCCCAACGGCTGCCAGGATTTCTGGCTAAAGAAACATAATGGCCTCCCTTACTCACCAGGTCGGCCCGGGGCTGAGGCTCAGCTCCCCTTTTAGGACAAATGTGACACTTCCTCTGACCCTTGGGGGGGAAGGGTGGGTAAGATGAGGCCAAGACAAAGCTTGGGGGAAGCAGATGGCAGGGTCCTGGCCAAAGAGGAGACTCGTGTGAAACTTTCGTGGCAATGCTCCTTTCCAAGCCTCCCCTCTGCTCTCTGACCTTGATGAGCCCTGCAGATCAATGTTCAACTAAAATCACAGCAGGGACAAAATTCCGAGGAACCCTACTTCAAGCAGGGTTCAGAAAGTTTGATACCCGCCTTTAATCCCAGCAATGCCTTTAATCCCAGCACTCGGGAGGCAGAGGCAGGTGGATCTCTGTAAGTTCGAGGCCAGCCTGGTCTACAAGAGTGAGTTCCAGGACAGGACAGCCTCCAAAACAATACAGAGAAACCCTGTCTCGGAAAAAAAAAAAAAAAAAGTTTGATGCATACCTTGAACTCTGCTTCCCTCGGCCAGGTTCCCCCAGAGCCACCCCATGCCACTACAGCCCACCTGCTTTACCTCTACACAATCTTCCTGACCTTGCTCGACTTGGCCCAAGGCTTCAGAGGGTCCACGGCACCCAACAAGCCGTTCATCACCGTTTGGAATGCAGATACTTACTGGTGCCTGAAGGGTTACGGTGTGGATGTGGATGTCAGTGTGTTCGATGTGACTGTCAACAAGGAGCAGAGCTTCCGAGGCCCTAACATGACCATTTTCTACAGCTGGCAGCTGGGCACCTATCCCTACTACACCTCCACCGGGGAACCCGTATTTGGTGGCCTGCCCCAGAATGCCAGCCTGGTTACCCACCTGGCTTGCACGTACCAGGACATCGAGGCTGTCATGCCCGAGCCTGACTTCTCGGGACTGGCAGTCATTGACTGGGAGGCATGGCGCCCACGATGGGCCTTCAATTGGGACAGCAAGGACATCTATCGACAGCGCTCAGTGGCACTGGTTCAGGCAGAGCACCCTGACTGGCCGGAAACGTTAGTGGAGGCCGTAGCCCAGCGCCAGTTCCAGGAAGCTGCACAGGCCTGGATGGCAGGCACCCTCCAGCTGGGGCAGGTCCTGCGTCCTAGTGGCCTCTGGGGTTACTATGGCTTCCCTGACTGCTACAACCACGACTTCCTAAGTCCCAATTACACAGGCCAGTGCTCACTAAACATCCGCGACCAGAACGACCAGCTAGAGTGGCTGTGGAACCAGAGCTACGCTCTCTATCCCAGTGTTTACCTGCCTGCGGCACTCATGGGCACAACAGGGAAGGCTCAGCTCTATGTTCGACACCGTGTACAAGAGGCATTCCGTGTAGCTGCAGCTTCCAGAGACCCCAGTGTGCCCATCCTGCCCTATGCACAGATCTTCTATGAATTGACAAATCATCTTCTGCCCCTGGTGAGTCCTCTGTGACCTTGTCTACCTTGTCAGCCTTCCTTGTTAGGTAATAAGGCAACAGGTTCAAACATTGAGTCCACATAGCTTCAGGGTACTTTTTTTTGATCGGGGGAGGGGTTTTGGGAATCAAACTCGGCCTTGTACAAATGCTTAGCTACTGACTTAAATACCCCAGTACTTTGTTCATTCATTACCACATACATGGGGCATCTACTTTGTGCCAAGTTCTGTGAGAAGCATGGGCGACTCAGAATTTAATGGAAAAATTAGTTCCCATCTAATTACAGGCTAGACAGAGAACATGCTTACCCTGACCATCAACACATGCTTCAGGTGAATGTTAGGAGTAAAGAATAATGGGTTGGCCAGCACTTGGGAGGCAGAGGCAGGTGGATCTCTGTGAGTTCGAGGCCAGCCTGGTCTACAAGAGCTAGTTCCAGGACAACCTCCAAAGCCACAGAGAAACCCTGTCTCGGAAAAAAAAAAAAAAAGAATAATGGGTTGGGACCACAGGTGGCAGGTCCCTGGTCCTAGGCTGGGACTGAGAGGATCTCCACCCTGGGGCAGGTGATGGACTGGATGGCGGGTAGACAGAGAAACAGAGACCTGTAGATGTAACTCGTATTGAAAGTTTTAGAGCCTCCAAAGCTACAGAGAAACCCTGTCTCAAAAAACCAAAAAAAAAAAAAAAAAGAAAGTTTTAGTAAGGGGGAGGTAAGAAAATAAGGTAAAGAGACCAGCCACAGGACAGAGGAGAAAAAGGGGGGGACAGAAAAAGGTCCTGTCTGTCCTCCAGAGAAATAGTAGGAAAAAGAGAAGTGGGTAGAGCCCACTTTTAAAGACCAGGGTACAGTCGGGCCATGGTGGCGCACGTCTTTAGTCCAGCACTCAGGAGGCAGAGGCAGGCACATCTCTGAGAGTTCTTAGCCAGCCTGGTCTACAAAGTGCACAGAGAAACCCTGTCTCAAAAATAAAAGATCCAGGGTACAAACACCTACCACGTGCAGGTGGGTGAGAGGCAGGGCCCCGTTTGCCTGGATTACAACAGTGCTGGTTACAGATTATTTGTCCCGTCCAGTGATGTCCGGTTCCCACTGGCAGGAAGGACAATAGCATCCACAGGGCTATGCAATCTACTTCCCAGGAGGAGCTGGAGCACAGCATCGGGGAGAGTGCAGCTCAGGGAGCAGCAGGAGTGGTGGTCTGGGTGAGCTCAGAAAATACTTCGACTAAGGTAAGCGGAGGCCTGGGAGGAGGGCTAGGGATGAGGAGAGACTAGAGACTAATCTCCTCTTTGTACCCTGGCGTCCTGACTGAGCAAACGTAAATACGGCTTACCTGTAAGGGTAAGTAAGGACTAAGAGGGTTCAGACAAGGCTACAGTCACTTACACGCTCCTTCGCACTCAGGAGTCCTGCCGGATCATTAAAGAGTATGTGGATTCCACACTTGGGCCTTTCATCCTGAACGTGACCAGTGCGGCTCTCCTCTGCAGCGATGCTCTATGTTCCGGCCATGGCCGCTGTGCCCGCCGTCCCAGTCACCCCGAGGCTCTGCTCACTCTCAACCCTGCCAGTTTTTCCATTGAGCTAACACAAGATGGCAGGCCCCCCAGCCTCAAGGGCTCCCTCTCCCTTAGGGATCAGGCACAGATGGCTATGGAATTCAAGTGTCGCTGCTACAGTGGGTGGCGTGGGAAGCGGTGTGAGAAGCGAGATATACAGTATTAGCTGTAACCAGACTGCACACTGAACAGCTAACATACCCTGGGCCCACCTGCGACTTCCTCAGATACAGTCACACGCACACAAGTCACAGTCAGGAGCATGCTCAACCACTGTCATAGTCATGTGCACACAGGCACGCTCACAGGGACAGTCACTTGGTGAATCAGAGTTAAGAGCAGGCACTATCAATTCTGTGCCTATAAGGACCTACTTGGCAGGATCATAGGCAAGTCCTTCAGAACCTATGAGTCAGCAGTGACAAAGCTGACATTTGTCCTATGTCTGCTCTGTGCCAAGCCTTGTGCTAAGTAAGCACTAGAAATGGACTCTTCACAATTCAAGACATACAGGAGGAGTGAACACTTTTTTTTGCTTGTTTTTGTTTTTGTTTTGAGACAGGGTTTCTCTGAATTGCTTCAGAGCCTGTCCTGGAACTCGCTCTGTAGACCAGGCTGGCTTTGAACTCAGAGATCCACCTGCCTCTGCCTCCCAAGTACTGAAATTAAAGGTGTACACCACCCCCGACTGGCTGATTAAATACTTTGTGTTTTTGTTTTCATGGTTTTTTTTTTGTTTGTTTGTTTGTTTTTTGAGACAAGATTTCTCTGTGGCTTTGGAGGCTGTCCTGGAACTAGCTCTTGTAGACCAGGCTGGTCTCGGGCTCACAGAGATCACCTGCCTCTGCCTCCCAAGTGCTAGGACTAAAGGCAAGTGAATACTTTTTATTTACTTATTTTTTGCTGTGCTGGAAATTGAACTTAGTACCTCACACCCGCTAGGCAAATGCTCTATCACTAAGCTATATTCCTAACCGCTGAGGGTGAGTACTTTTTGTCCAATGTTGTCCAGCAAGAAGAGACAAGCTCTCGGAGTGTTGGTGACACATGCCTTTAATCCCAGCACTCGGGAGGCAGAGGCAGGCAGATCTCTGTGAGTTCGAGGCCAGCCTGGTCTATAAGAGCTAGTGCCAGGACAGCCTCGAAAGCAATACAGAGAAACCCTGTCTCGAAAAACCAAAAAGAAGCCGGGCATTGGTGGCGCACGCCTTTAATCCCAGCACTTGGGAGGCAGAGGCAGACGGATCTCTGTGAGTTCGAGGCCAGCCTGGTCTACAAGAGCTAGTTCCAGGACAGCCTCCAAAGCCACAGAGAAACCCTGTCTCGAAAAACCAAAAAAAAAAAAAAAAAAAAAAAAAAAAAGAAGGAGGAGGAGGAGGAGGAGGAGGAGAAGAGACAAGCAAAGCCAGGCATCATGATACACACCTGTAATCCCAGCACTCGGAGGCAGAGGCAGGAGTCTCTGTGAGTTCACGGCCATCCTGGTCTACATACTGAGCTGCAGGACAACCAGGACTACATAGAGAGACTGTCTCAAAACAAAACAAACAAACAAAACCAAGAGATGCATATTGAAATCTAGGCTATCGGGCTCCAAAGATAGAACCTTACATACCTACTGTGTGTTGATGGTGCCCTACATGAGCTGGGAAAACACAATAACACCACTCTACAGGATCCCTGAAATCTGCTGAGAGATACTAACTAGCACTGCTCAACCCAGCAAACAAAACTGTCATATTTTACTTAGCTGTTTAATTAACTCCTAAAATACGCAGGTCTCAGAACCCAGAGAACACTGGAAAGGCTGGTTTCTTCCACCCAAGTATGTTGTCTAAAGACCGCTGCTTCCCATGATCAAAAGGAAGTTCCATTGATGCACTAGGGCTAGAGATGCTACCAGAGCGGAGCCAAAACGAAATTCCCATTTCTTTGAGCCTGGGGAGGTGAAAGGTGCAGGAAAAGCCAAACCCAGAGAAGCTGCTAGTAGTCAGAGGCAGGGCCTGCAGGGGGGCCGAGCCAAGAGGAGGCGGAGCCATCGGCAGGAAGCTTCAGGCCCAGTCGCCGCCGGAAGCGAGGAAGCCGGGGGACCGAATGGGCCTGCTTTAAGTTCTGTTGTGACGCTCAGAACCAGGGGCGGGGGGGTGTCTAGGTGGAGACATTCCGGGCACGGAGGACTTAGGCCTGCGAAGATTGCTGTAAGTCCTCCGTACTGCTGGGACCAGCATAGGCACACCGAGGAATCCGAGCCAGAGACAGCGAGATACCAAACCGTGCGCAGGCTGGACGCGGACCATCCCGGAACTCGGCTTTAACATGTCAGTATCACCCTCCCTCTCACACATTGTCCATCTATCCTCCCCGCGTCTGTCGTCCCCCAGTGACCGTGTCGCCCCACAAGCCTTACCAACGTTGGCCCTTCCCTCCAAGAGCATGCTGAGCCACACCCACCCATAATCAAGCTTTCAAAACCCCCACTCCCAAAAGATATCTATCCATGGCCTGTGTCCCATAAGGGGCAGGTACAGATCCTCTCTGAATACCCGGGGCTTCGCTCCACCTACAGCCCCGCAATGAAGGGGTTAAGCCAGTTTGGGGAACCCTGGGGCTTTGGGCTAGGGGCGGACCCTGAGGTTCCTCCTTCCAGACCTTACTTAACAGCCTGGGAGCTGGGAGGGAGTGCTGCTACCGAGCTGACCCGCTGCAGGTAAGGGGCTCCGGTTACAGCCCAGCGTGTGGGGTTTGTGTGCCGGGTGAGAGCTGCCTGTCCTCGGGCTTGGGGGAAGTTGGGAAGGGTTAGGGGGAACTGGATGGAACAAAGGAGTATAGTGGGACTCAGCTGCCCACCCAGTACAAGAAATTCCCCAACACAGCCCCTCCATGGCCCCTCCTTCCAGCAGAACCTAAAATACGGTGGGTAAACAATGAGGTTTTAGGCATGGAGGCCTGGATCCCCAGCCTGGTGGCCGTTGGACACCTGTAGATTTAGGAAGGAAGCCATGGTCCTTATCAGGGGGGTAACTGTGAAACTCAGGCCAGAGGCAAGCAGGCTTGCAAAAGCCACATTCTGTGTGATGGGCCAAGCTCCATGCTGATGCTATCAGGGTACCAGACATAAGGACAGTTGGGTGTGTGCCCAAGTGTCCTGAACTGAACAGAACTGGAGAGGAGGGACATAAGCTCTGTTCTACGGGAAAGGAAGGCAGTGGGGGTGGGGGGAGGCTGAGCCTGTCTGGGTGTGTGTCTGGGTCCCAGCGTCCACTTGATACAGGCATGGCTGGATCAGCTAGAGGAGGGCTGGCGTGTAGGGAGAAGGAGGGACGGGGCAGCTCCTGGGAGTGGTCTTTCTTCTGAAAGAGAAAACTCAAGGGGAAGCAAACTAGAGGTATGATGTCCAGTTCACCCTCTGCCAAGGCTAGCCAGCTACAGTCATGGACTACTAAAGATAAGACAGGCTGCTCCTCGTGGTGATGGCTGATGCCTGTGACCCTAGGGCTTAGGAGGCTGAGGCAGTCGGATCACTTTGAGGCAAGCATAGGCTGCAAACCCTGGAGAGACAGAGGTGGGGAGGGGGGACCCAGCAGGTGGGTTAGGTGGGCTAGCCTGGCACAGTGAGCTGCTGTAAAGGCACTTAGAGCATTTGTAGCCAGAACTTCTGGGTTCCAGCGCAGCCTCCCCTCCAGTGTTGGGTAGGACGCCTGTCCTTTCCAGTGCATGCAGGACAAGGTGGAGCACACCACCCCCAGTTCCCAGATGCATGTCCCTTTCTACCAGTCCTCCTTCCCGGCCCCAAGCCCGTCCTCCTGACACAGCCTGGCACGGCTGTATCCACAGGAGGTGAACCGTGTGTGTGTGTGAGGAGAGGCCACTGCCTGGGGACTGTGGCCTAACCCTCCAGCCTGGCAATGAGGCACCTGCAACCTAACAGGAAGTGACCTAGTCTTCCTGCCTGACTCAGCTGAGCCTGGATCCTACCTCTAGGCAAGAGGGGCCTCTGAGCCCTGGCCCAGCCAAGCTGCCCCTCCCATAGACCCCGTGCACCGGATGGAGCTGCTCCTGAGTACCAGCCCAGCAAAGCTTCCTCTAGATCCTGCATGCCAGCCAGAATTGACCCTGAGAGTCAACCTGACCAAGCTAACCCTGGATCCTGCACGCCAGCCAGAGCTGTCACCGAGGCCCCGGATAGCTGAGCTGACCCTGGATTCCACATGCCCCCCAGAGATGACCCTCAGTCCTGGCCCAGCTGAGTTTCCTCTGGATCCTGAACACCAGGCAGAGGAGACCCCAGTCCCCAACCCGGCTGAGCTGACCCTGGAACCTGTGCACTGCCGACCCGAGCTCCTGAGTGCGTGTGCTGACCTCATCAATGACCAGTGGCCCCGCAGCCGAGCCTCCCGTCTCCACTCCCTGGGCCAGTCCTCAGATGCCTTCCCCCTCTGCCTGATGCTGCTGAGCCCTCATCCCACGCCTGGAGCATCCCCTATTGTGGTTGGCCATGCCCGGTTATCACGGGTACTGGACCAGCCCCACAGCCTCTTAGTGGAGACAGTGGTGGTAGCTCGGGCTCTGAGGGGCCGTGGCTTTGGCCGTCGCCTCATGGAGGGCTTGGAGACTTTTGCCCGAGCCCGGGGCTTCCGCCGGCTGCACCTCACGACTCATGATCAGTTGTACTTCTATGCCCATCTGGGCTACCACCTGGGCGAACCTGTGCAGGGTTTGGTCTTCACCAACCGTCGGCTGCCCACTACCTTCCTACGTGCCTTCTCTAAGACACCCTGCCCCCAGCCACCCTGCAAGGGGCCTGTCCTAGCTGCCCAAGCTGTCCCAAGGAGCTCCAAGGGACCCCCATTGCCACCACCTCCTCCCCTACCCCAGTCTCTAACCACCTCACCCCCTCCTTCACCAGGGCCCCTTCCTCAAGGCCTGCGAGAGACAAGACACAGAGATCTGAAGGGATGCCCTATATTCTGGATGGAGAAAGACATCTGAAGGCCAGGCACTGTCTTTCTGGGACATTGAATTGCCCAGAACAGTCCCAGCCTCAGCCCACTGGCCAAACTTTAGCCCCCTAGCCTCTGGGGGCGACCTTAGCCTGTGTATGTTTCCCGGGTACCAATGGGCCAGGAGGTGGCTTCAGAGCTTCAGCTCAGAGCTGTTAGTGTGGCTGAATAAAGGCTTCCATTAGGTGTGGCTATGACAATTTATTTTGTTAGACCCCTTCCCAGATTCCCTATTCCTACAGAAGCCCTACTATCCAACTTGGCCTGAGTCATTGATGAGGTAATATCTGTCCTTTACTCCGCCTCCTCTCCCAGGCCCAGGCCCTTCCCTTTCCCTTACCCTCACTCATTACCGTTCACCAAGCACTTGCCCTGCACTGGACTTAGGCAGAGAGGAATCTGTAGACAAAGTGTTGGGGGTGTGTAGCAGGTCTCATGCTGGGAGCCCAAGTGCCCTCACTTCCCCCAGAATCTGGTAGGTAGGTAATGTTAGAGACCTGCCGAATGGGAATTAAGCCAGGGAAGCAAGAAGGCAAGCACTGAGTGTTCTTGAGGCAGAGACAAGATGGGCAGGGGAAGGAAGGGGACGTGTGACAGCCGTGAGTTGGGGAGGCCTCAGAGAACATGATGGTGCCTTACCAGAGATGGAGAACACTGGGGGGAGCAGCCCAGGATGCTTGGGGTATGGCCAATTGGGAACCATGTTTAACCCCAGCCCTGCCCCTTTCCCTGAGGGGAAGAATTTGGGAAGCTTTCCCTGCTTTCCTTGCTATGCAAAGGCGTGGCCTTGACCACGGACTCTAAGCTCATCCCCCCTCTTTCCTGCAGGTTTCCATCTTTGTGGCATGACCATGCAGCTAGGCCTAACCCTGGTGGTGGGGGTAGCCCTATGCTTGGTGTTTGGCCAGCCTTTGCGGCAGGTTCCTGAGCGTCCCTTTTCTGTGCTGTGGAATGTACCCTCAGCACGATGTGAGGCCCACTTTGGTGTGCACCTACCACTTAGTACCCTCAGCATCGTGGCCAACCATGGCCAGCATTTTCACGGCCAAAACATCACCATCTTCTACAAGAACCAGTTTGGTCTCTATCCTTATTTTGGACCTAGAGGCACAGCCCACAATGGGGGTATCCCTCAGGCTGTATCACTAGACCGCCATTTGGCACAAGCTGCCCACCAGATCCTCCATAGCCTAGGGTCTAGCTTTGCTGGCTTGGCAGTGCTGGACTGGGAAGAGTGGTACCCACTTTGGTCTGGGAACTGGGGTCCCCATCGCCAAGTCTACCAGGCAGCCTCCTGGGCTTGGGCACAGCGGGTGTTCCCTGACCTGGGCCCCCAGGACCAGCTCCATAAAGCCCATACTGGCTTTGAGCAGGCTGCGCGTGCACTGATGGAACAGACACTGCATCTGGGCCGCACACTTCGCCCACACGGGCTCTGGGGCTTTTATCGATACCCAGCCTGTGGCAATGGCTGGCATAATATGGCTGCCAACTATACAGGCCACTGCCATGCAGCCACCATTACCAGGAACAACCAACTGCACTGGCTCTGGGCTGCCTCTAGTGCTATCTACCCAAGCATCTACCTCCCACCCAGACTGCCAGCCGCCTACCAGCAGGCCTTTGTCCGACACCGCCTGGAGGAGGCCTTCCGAGTAGCCCTGGTTGGCCACACACACCCTTTACCTGTTCTGGCCTATGCTCGCCTCACAAGCCGGAGCTCTGGGAAATTCTTGTCTCTGGTAAGTAAAAGCGGAGGGTTAGGGGTTAGTCCAGAGACACGGCCCTGTCCTAGGAAGCCGAAGAGGAGATCTTGCCTAAGGGAAGTGGGAAGGTGGTCATGACCTAGGGTTTAAAAAAGATCCTAGCCTGCTGGGCAGTGGGGGCACACACCTTTAATCCCAGCACTCAGGGGGCAGATCTCTGAGTCTGAGGCCAGCCTGGCCTACAGAATGAGTTCTAGGATAGTTGGAGCTATATAATGAGACCCTGTGTCAAAAACAACAAAACAAACAAAAGATCCCATCCTGGGGTAGGAAGGCATGACTATGTGCTGGGAGATCTCAATGGATTAGACAGAGTCCAGCCTTTGGGTATCTGGTCTAAGGACAGTCATTCTCTGGAGGTACGGGGAAGTACTTAGAAGCTCTGTCAAAAGAGCCCTACTCTAGAGGCAGAGTCAGAGAAGTAAACCAAACGGTACCATGGTGACGTTGGGCTCTGGGGGATCTGGGCAGTCCAGCTTTGGCTCAGTAGTTCTCTGACTCCAGGATGACCTGGTGAGGACCATTGGTGTGAGTGCAGCGCTGGGAGCAGCCGGAGTGGTGCTCTGGGGAGACCTGAGTTTCTCCAGCTCTGAGGTGAGCACTGCCCCTTCCTCATGCGCACGCTGTAGTCCTAAGTTAAGGGAGAAGCTATGTCAAGTCATGGAGAAGGAGCAATGACATCTCTTCTCTCCTCAGGAGGAATGCTGGCGTCTCCACGACTACCTAGTGAGCACTTTAGGCCCCTATGTGATCAATGTGACAAAGGCTGCCATGGCCTGCAGTCACCAACGATGCCACGGCCATGGTCGCTGTGCCCGGAGAGACCCAGGACAAACGAAAGCCTTTCTGCATGTGAAGCCAGATGGTAGTCTTGGAGCCTGGAAGTCCTTCAGATGCCGTTGTTACTTGGGGTGGGCTGGCCCTACCTGCCAGAAACCTGAGCCTAAGGAAGCAACATAAGTCAGGAGTTCCTGCCCTTGGTTTTTTTGTCCCTGTTGCCACTTTTCCAGCCCTAGGGGAAATCCCATTTATGTTTTAACTAATAGAACTTTCCCAAGAACATAGACCACTTCAACCAACACACCTTCCCTCAGAATTCCCAAGGAATAGATAGGGCCTAATAAAAACATAAAACCAGACTCAGAGCCCTCTGAGATCACCTGACTTAAAAAAATAAAGCAGCCCAGGGAGTCAGTTGCAGACATCTAAGGTTGCCAGCCAGACTAGAGCACTGTTCCTATACCTCAGTGCATCTACAGAGAAGTCCTATCTAAGGGGCAGAGAGACAACCCCTACATTCCTCCCAACACACACGCATACACATGTTCGCATGCACGCCCACCCCCCAAAAATTTTTAAGGTCTGTTAAATGCTAAGCTATTGTTTGTACTCTCTTCCATAAAGTCACTTTTTCGTTACCCGAGGCTTGTCTGTTCTCACGATTCTACCAAGCGTCAAACCCTGGCCTCAACGCAGGTGCCTTGTTACAAGGGCCTAGCGATGCTTTCAGCAAGGAGGGAAACTACCAAGTTAACTATGATCCCAGACGCCGCGGGGACCAGAGGAGGGGCAAAGAGCATTGTGGGTAAATAGTTTAGCAGGAGTGGCGTCGGCTTGTGTGCCTCCAGAATGGACTACGATTCCCGTCGTGCACTGCGCTCAACTCGGGCCGCCCTAATCTGTGTGCGCAGACGCCTGGGGATAGTAGTTTCGGCCGCGTGGATGTGGAACTGAACCGGGTGGCGGGGAACTCACCTTCCCAGCGACCCGTTTGACAGGGCGGGGCGCCTCACGAAGATGGTGGCGCGCGCGGCGTGTGGCTCCTGTCGTCTTCCCCAGTCTCAACTCAGCGCACCGGCCAGCATTTCGCTGGTTTGGAGTCCCCGCCCTCCGGGTCCCTGACCCCGCGCCCCCTTACAGTGTCCCGACTCCTAGTTCCAGGAATGCCTCGTGCTCGTAAGGGCAGTGCGCTCCGCAAGGGCGGTCAGCGCCGTGGAGGAGGTGAGTCCGGGGGCTCCGGAGGAAATGTCCAGTAGTGAGCGGGGATGTTTTGTGGTTCCCCTTGGATGTCATCGAGGGTCTTGGGTTAGCGACTCTTCCGGGATCAGCCCAGTGCAACCTTCCGGAACTCTGCTAAGGCTCGCACGTGCCCCAGCAGGCATTGGCCACGTGTGCGCTCAACTTGAGCGCATTGCCAGCTGTTTTTCGAAATCCCGCGCTCGCAGCGGTGATTTGGCCAGCATTTAAGGACCTAGGTCTTCCCATCGCCACGGGGGGTGGACAACCACATGAGACAGAAGCGTGAAGCCAGCCCCTTTGCCAAATACTAGTGCATTTGGTAGACGGCACAGGGAAGTTAGCAGACAGGCCTCGTCTGTTCTGTACAGAATGGAGGCCTTAGCAACTGGGCTGGAGACTGGCATCCAAGAGCCTGAGGCCATCTTGAGACTCCTTATCAACCTCAACCAGAAGCATGTCCTGTTGCGGTAAACAAGCTAATTCTGCTGAGATAGAGTGCCTGCCAAGCACAGTTTTGATCTGACTGCCACCATAATGTGGCTTGGGTCTGGGGGCATTTAGTAGTGTAATGACAGTTTCACAAGGGCTAGGACTAAAACCAGTTACTGGGTGGTGTCAGACAGAATCACAGAGGCCCTGTGAGATGAGCTTCTGGGTGAGACCTGAGAAGGTGAAGAGCCCCAGGCAGGGAGCCTGTTGTGCAAAGGCCTGGCAGCTCAGGGGATCACAGCACAGCCAACAAATGGGAAGTCTGGGCCGTTTGGACAAGTAGGATAGTAAGAGTAGAGGTGAGCAGAAGCCAATGTGTGGGCTGAACTTTTCCCAGCAGGCAACTGATGTTAGCAGTCCTGTCACTAGATCAAAGCCTGTCCAGTAGCTGCATGTCTCAAAGCCAGTCCTTGACCCTGCAGAGAAGTCACACTCAGGAATGTTCCTGCCCTACTGGCACTTCCCTTCCGTTTGCTGCTTTATGAGCGAGTGTGGTGGCCTGTAGCAGAGCCCTGACGAGTCTCTTGTTTTCACGTGCCACACCTGAAGTGGGGTGCTGTTTCCACCTTGCCTTAAAGGCAGGACAGCTGGTCAAATTACACCTCTGCTAATGTGGGGGCAGGGCAGGGGACACTAAGGGTGTACCCAGTGGAGATCACAAGACCTTGGCACAGTTTAAACCCCTAGGTCTGTCGAGTACTATAACCTGAGCGCTCACCTTTACATTGCTTACTTTTTGTTTGTTTTTGTTTTTCTGAGACAGGGTTTCTCTGTGACTTTGGAGCCTGTCCTGGAACTAGCTCTTGTGGACCAGGCTGGCCTTGAACTCACAGAGATCCGCCTGCCTCTGCCTCCAGAGTGCTGATATTAAAAGCGTGCGCCACCACTGCCCGGCCATTGCTTACTTTTGAGCATATTCTAGACTGGACTGCAGGCCTAGGTGGGACTCACCCATTCCCTTCTGCTCTCCTTAAAGCAGGCTGTGCCCTGCTGGGGTCCCCACTCATCAAATCTACCAGGTTGCCCTTGGGTAGGTCTAGCAGCTGTGTTCCCCTTTTCCTGCTTCCTAATTCAAGTCCCATATGTCAGCTCCTGTGCTGCTTAACCTAGCCATGTTTATTTAGCTCATCTCTGAGATGGGACAGCATTCGTGAGGTTAAACGAGGTACCCTGAGCTATCCCTTGCCAGTGAAGGCTGGTCTGATAGCAATTTTGTGTTGCCCAGGTGCCAGGAGCAGTACCCAAGCCGACTCAGGTTCCAGTGAGGATGAAGCAGCCAGTGAGGCCCGAAGTACCACCAGTGAATGTCCCAGCCTGCTCAGTACCACTGCAGAGGACTGCCTTGGTGAGAGCAAGTTGAAGTTTGACGGGGAACTCAGTGCGGGCTCCGATGGACAAGGGCAGGGTTCAGTGGTGACCAGCTGGCTTTGCAGGTGGGGAAGCTGTGGATGAGCAGAGCCAGCAGGAAAACCTGGAGGAAAAGCTGAAGGACTCCGTGGACTGCCTCACCGACAAGAGGTACCTCTGGCTGCTGGCCAGCTTCTACACGTAGAGCCCTAATCAGCCCATGGCAAATGGAACCAAGGGAGCAATCGCCCGCATGAACCCTTTCTCTGCCTCCTAGTGCCAAGACCCGGCAAGGAGCTCTTGAGAGCCTGCGCCTGGCCCTGGCCTCCCACCTGCTTCCTGACTTCTTGCTGGAGCGCAGCCTCACGCTGGCGGATGCCCTGGAAAAGTGCCTTAAGAAAGGTCAAGTCCTGGGCACCTGGGGAACCCTAGCGAGGCAGGTGTTGACACTTGCTGCGAGCACTAACTGGAAAGCATCCTGTAGGGAAGGGTGAAGAACAGGCCCTGGCTGCTGCTGTGCTAGGCCTGCTGTGTGTGCAGTTGGGCCCTGGACCCAAGGGCGAGGAGCTGTTCCATAGCCTACAGCCGCTGCTAATCTTGGTGCTCAGTGACAGCACAGCCAGCCCCGCTGCCCGGCTCCATGTGAGTATTTCCACGCCCCGTGGTCCCTCATCCCAGAGCAGGGGGTCGGGTTCTACCTGTCTTCAGACTCCCTGCTCTAAAGAGAGTAAGTCTCGTGTGATGGCCCTGATGTTGACACACGGTAGCCTAGCTTTGTCCTCTTCCCAACAGTGTGCTTCTGCTCTTGGTTTGGGCTGCTATGTGGCTGCCACCGATGTCCAGGTAAGTGGACTTTGGACGTGGGTGGTATAGTAACTAGACTCCGTAGCTCTGTCTGTAAACCACTCCTGTCTCCCTGTGCTCCTAGGACCTGGTCTCGTGCTTGACCTGCTTGGAAGGTATTTTCAGCTGGTCCTGCAGTACTGGTGGCTCCGCTGCTGCTCTGGTCCCTGCCAGCCTACAAGGTCTGCTCTGTGCTGCCCTGCAGGCCTGGGCATTGCTGCTCACCATCTGTCCTAGTACCCACATCAACCACGTCCTTGACAGGTAGGGGGGTGGGAGGGCATTGCGAAGGGACCCTCAACCTGTACATGAAGCTTAGCTTGCCATTTCCTTAGGCAGCTGCCCCAGCTGCCGAGGCTCTTGTCCAGTGACAGTGTGAACCTGCGGATCGCTGCTGGCGAAGCCATCGCACTGCTCTTTGAGCTTGCCCGGGACCTCGAGGTGCGTGGGAAGTGCCTGCTGGCGCCACTGACCACCCCAGACTGTTTGCAGAGCATGCCACAAAAACCCAGCAGCCTTGGGTCATTTTGTAGGGGAGGTGACCCCAACACTTACTCACATGCTAGGAGCTATACTGGGGACTCTGAGCAGAGGCGAGCTGGCAGAGGGTGGGGTGCAGGGGGAGGGCAAGGAGAGGCTGAGAGAAGAGCCTGGCAGAGGAGAGCAGTGAGTGGAAGGAAAACTTGGGCAGCACCATGCTCTCTCCCAGAAGACTTCAAGCTTCTGTCTAACACCTCATTGTTCCCGCATAGGAGGACTTTGTTTATGAGGACATGGAGGCTCTCTGTGGTTCCCTGCGTACTCTAGCCACTGACAGCAATAAGTACCGTGCCAAGATTGACCGTCGACGCCAGCGCTCCATTTTCCGAGCTGTGCTGCACTTTGTTGAGGTGTGTGTGAGAACATGAGTATTCCTTAAAAATGTGTCCCCAAGGGTTGGGCGTGGTGGTCCACACCTATAATCCACCTCCCCACCCCCTCGATCCCCTCATCTATCCCCTCCCCCATCCCCACGGTCAGGAGGCAGAGGCATGGTGAATATTCCAGGACAGCTAGGGCTAGGTAGACCCTGTCTCAACACACACACACACACACACACACACACACACACACACACACACACACACACACACACAGTGTCCCAGGCATGTTAGCCCGTCTCAACACACACACACACACACACACATACACACATACAGAGTGTCCCAGGACAGCTAGGGCTAGGTAGACCCTGTCTCAACACACACACACACACACACACACACACACACACACACACACACACACACACACACACACAGTGTCCCAGGCATGTTAGCCCGTCTCAACACACACACACACACACACACATACACACATACAGAGTGTCCCAGGCATGTTAGCCAATCCCAGTCGTGGGCCCTCTACCCTGTAGGGTGGTGAATGTGAGGAGGAAACAATCCGCTTCGGACTGGAAGTGCTCTGCATAGACAGCTGGGCTCGCCACCGCATCTACACAGCCTTCAAGGATGTGTTGGGCTCGGGCATGCACCATCACCTCCAGGTGAGGGGACGTACAGGGAGGTCTACCCAGCTTAACTTCTTCAGACCGCCCTTAGCTAATTGCCTTGTCTTCAGAACAATGAGCTTCTCCGTGACATCTTTGGCCTGGGCCCTGTGCTGGTGCTGGATGCCGCTACCCTGAAGGCCTGCAAGATCTCACGCTTTGAAAAGGTTTGCATCTGGGGCACCTTTATCTTGCCTCCTGTAGCCTGGAGGCCTCAAGCTGCAAGTGGGCTTCCGGAGGAGCCTGAATTTCCCTTCTCAGCTCACCAGGCTCCCCTGTTGCCCCTTCCACAGCACCTGTACAATGCTGCAGCCTTCAAAGCCCGGACCAAGGCCCGGAGTCGTGCAAGGGACAAGCGGGCAGATGTCCTGTGAAGCAGACTGGCCAATGAGAAGGCTACTCATACCCTTACCATATTTTTAACAGAAGACAGTGCAAGAACTGGTCCCGCCAGCAATTGTCACTTTATTTTTTTTTCAATGATGAAACCAAAAATAGACAAGTGGGGGGTGGGCACGGGATCGGGACACTTAAGACTCTGCCCTTTGTGTCTGCACTCAGCCCTGTGGCTATGGCCTCATCCTGTCTCAGGTGAAACCAAATGTGTGCTGGTCCCAGAGCTGAGGGGCAGGTGAGGAAGGACTGTCCCTTTACTTTTTTAGACTTTGCCCCCTAGGGTCACTTCCTTTGGGGGTCTGGCACATGTCCACCATGGCATGGGGTAGGCAAAGCTGCCTAGAATGGATGCGTGTGCTGGTTTTTAAAAATAAGAGAGAATTAAACAGTACTTATTCCCCATGACGTTTATCCTGAGTTTTTTGCTTGACTTCCCTCTACCACCCTAGGCTTGGCCCCAGCTAGATCTGTTTCACCTTTGTCCTCCAAGGCAGTCTCTGCCAATGTGGTCCCCCACCCCCAACTCAGCCTAGCTTGTCTGAGAGCTGAGACCGGACCCCCCACTAGGAGACCTGGCAGAGTGGGTGGCTAAGCAGGGACAGCTATTTCTAGACTTCTGAATCTCCTATCTGGGGGTAGCCAGAGGGTGCTGACAGGCCATAGAAGGAGCCAGGAGGAGGCTGGTGCCCCATCCTCTGACCTTTGGCTATCCAAAGCAGGGCCTTGGCACCAGAAGGCTTAGTCAGGCCTAGCCTGAAGAGGTCAAGAGAGACAGACAGCTGTTGAGTCACATCAGGCTCTTGTATAAAAATCTCACCAACGGGAGAGCAGAGAACTGCCAAAGGTCCCTTTATCCCCCTTGCGCCGTGCGTCTCACAAATGGCATCTCAGCTGGGTGCCTGAGCTTCGCTGGAGTTGAGTCTCCTTAGCTGGCTGAGGCTAGCCAGGCGCAATTTGAGCAGAGTCTCCTCTTGAGTGCGCAGTGTGTGTGCCAAGACCCTCAGGGATTCACTCTGCAGCACTGCGGGTGGGAAGACATTGTGGGACCTTGTCAGACTACATGCCATTGCAGATCTCCAACCAGCCCAGCGTCAAGGTTAGCTGTCCCGCCCTTTATTGCTGCATTTGCAGGTGCCCTGGGTGTCCCGTCCCCCGTGCCCCCCCTTCCCCGCCTGTCCCTACCACTTAGGTAGACAGCCAGGATAGCTAGTGCCAGGCAGGTGAATACCAGCAGTGCCAATAGCAGTAGAAACCCCCCATGGCCACACATGGGGCTGCAACCAGCTTGGGTGCACAGTGATGGCTGCAAGACACCCAGAAGCCCTTGCCACGTCTGTGCCTCTTCAGCCAGATAGGGCCGTAGTGAACCTGCGGGGAGGGTGGTTCATCAGGAAGGTGCCACCCACCCATAGCATCCTTCCCCGCCTCCCCTCGGCACCCTTACCTCCACTGTGCAGGTCACTGATGGACTCCACTCTGTGTAGACGCACCTCCTGCACATGGTTAGGAACTAGTGTTCCCCTGCTCCTCTGGTCCTGCATTGGCAACGCCGTGTCTATAGGGGCAGTGGGACCGATTGGAGCAAACAAGTCACTCCTTACCTTGTAGGTAAGCCCAGGCTGCAGAACTTGGGCTACATGGGAACTGCACCAGTGGCATTTGGTTCCAAATTCCTACAGTTTCAGGAATGATTCTTAGTTTGGACTCAGGGTTCCAAAGGCCTAGTCTGTGCATAGGGGCTCTTGGTGTGTGGCCGTGTTCACATTCAGGCTTTGCTCCGCCTACTTATTGCTAGCAAACAGTTCATCAACCTAAGCCCACAGCAATAATAAGTTTGTCATCTGGCCTGACCTTATAATATGGTGCCTACTCCTAGGCAAAGGCAACTGCATTCTAGCGGTTCCTCCTGGTTTGGTTCTGCCTTCCTAACACAATTATGCAGCCGCTCTCCTGGAGCCCTGCTGTTTTCACTCAACAGCACTGCGGGAGTCCCCTTTTTTCTTAACAGTTTCATGTAACTTTGAGGACTCTTCCGGCCTCCCTCTGAGGCTATCTGGACGTTTAGGTTGTTTCCAATTCCCTTTGGAAATTAACCCCAGGACATCAATCATTAAATGTGAAGGTTTCTCCACTTTGCTGGAAGTTACTGAGGACAATTCTCAGAAGTGGAATCACTGGGCCTGAGAACAGACTTTAAAGCTATCATCAGAACTGTCCTCTAAAAGGCCTGTCTGGAGCCCAGCAGTACAGAATTCTTACCATCAGGCATCCCATTGTAAAAAAGAATGTGTATGTGTGTGCACACAAGCCAGAGGTCTCAGTAACCAGGCACAGGAACTCAACAGGCTCACTAACCACAGAGCCCCAGGGACTCAATGTCTCTACCTCCCCAGACCTGGGATGAGAAGTGTGTACCCCGACTTGACCTGCAGTCTTCCTCCCAGACATAGGAGCTAACAGACAGTGTCTGACTTTTGCCTGTGCTCATGTCAAGGGGCAGCTTCAAGCACATCAAGGGCCCCAGAGAAATAAACTCAGGTCCTTCATGCTTGCAAGGCAAACTTTTTACGGAGCTAACCCAGACCCTGCATGCACAACCTTTCCGTGTATTTGCTAATCTGAGAGGTGAGAAGCAGCTTGACTGTTGCCTAGGGAGCCTGACTAATGTGTGTAATTACCCATTCTTGGGTTGTGTCCACTTAGTCACTGACTCTTTATGGTTCCCTTATGGTTATCTTTATTTCAGATTTTGTTTTGTTTGTGAGATAGTGTCTCACTATGTGACCTTTGCTGGCCTGAAACTCACTGCGTAGCCTTAACTAGAACGGACTTAACCTCGAAATTGTCTTGCCTCACCCTACCCATTACTGGCATTACATGTGGTTATGTGTTAGTGGTGTGTGTGTGCAGTGTATGCCCATATGTATTCAGACACTGTATATGTGAGGAGAACAGAGGGGGATTTTGGGTGTCCTCTGCCTTATTCCTTTGACGCAGGGGCTCTTGGGGAGGCTGGAAATCAGGTTGTTTTTAGTTTTCTTGATATGGGTGGCTGGCACCCAGAAAGTGCCAGTGATCCCCTGCCTCTGCTTCCCAATATACACAGTCCTGGGATTATAAGGCACACAAGACCACACCTAGCTTGTTATGTGGATGGATACTGGGATCCGAAGTCTCGGTTTTGGTTTTGGTTTTTCAAGACAAGGTTTCTCTGTCTCATTCTGTAGACCAGGCTGGCCTGGAGACCCACCTGCCTCTGCCTCTGGAGTGCTGGGATTAAAGTCTGCGCCACCACCACAGACTCTGACCTTCATGGTTGTGTAGCAAGTGCTTTTAATCACTGAACCATCCCTCCCTCCACCCCCACCCTTTTTTTTTTTTTTTTTTTTGGTTTTTCGAGACAGGGTTTCTCTGTATTGTCTTGGAAGCTGTACTGGAACTCGCTTTGTAGATCAGGCTGGCCTCGAACTCACAGAGATCCACCTGCCTCTGCCTCCCGAGTGCTGGGATTAAAGGCGTACCCCACCAATGCCCGGCTTTTTTTTTTTTTTTTTTGAGAGGCTCAAAAGGTTCCCAGACTGGTCTTGAGTTCCAGGTTAACTCAAGTTACCTTTCTGCCTCAGCCTTCCAATTACTATCACCATATCTATGACTTCTAGTTAACTATAACTATGCTTTCTGCTGGCATTATTTGACTGGATATTCCTGAAATAGTCTCACTATGTAGCCCTGGCCAGCCTAGAACTCATTATACAGACCAGGCTGACCTTGATCTCACAGAGATCCTCCTGCCTCTGCCTCCCAAGTGTGCACCTCCAAGGCCTTCTATTGGATGTTCTGGTTCCACAGGAGCCCCAGGTGCCTGCAGAGGGATAGGTAACAGTGTGCAGGGGCACTGGGTAAGGATGGCTCTGGGCCCTCTAATTGCTTGAAGCTGCACCTTGACATGCTCTTGAGCAAGTCAAACCAAAGCAGATGCCGTCAGTCCTTAAGCCTGGCTGATGAAGCGAGGTCACATTAAATACCCTCTCACTTCACTGCTTCTCCCATGCCTTATATGTGAACATATTTTATTTGCTACAGACAAAAACACATGGTAGATGTTACAGTTCAGTCATTGCCGTCACCACCCCCTCCCCATAAAAGGTACACATTCCCCCTTGGTAGAGGACAGGGCGTTTCTCTGGTTAGGACAGGCCAGAGGCCTGTCTACTTCCCAGTCCTTGGGCCAGATGTTGAAATGCTTCCTGGAACCACTTTGCCCCCCAATCGTAGCGTCTTTGCTGAAGGAAGAGCTGAACTGCTTGGCAGCTGCCCAGATGCCCACACCCACTTGGGTAGAGTTGACCCACTGGGATCCCTCCCCCTAGCCCATAGCAAGGAAAACTGCGTCAGGACCTGAAAAAGGGAGGAATTCTAGGTATGGCAGGTCCATTCTTTGTGCATGGGCATTGGTCCCTAGAACAGAGCTATGAAAAGACTACTCAAGGCCGTGAGGTCTCTCCATGAGCCATAGGGCCATAGAACCCTGTCCTCCCCCGTGGCTACCCTCTCCTACCTTCTTGGGTCTCCTCAGGCATGGCAGTTGATAGGTATAGTCAGGGGCCCAGTAGCAGAACTGGACAAAGACAGCAGTGGCTCCTTTAGGATCCTGGGAAAGGCCTGGCTGCCTCCCAACCTGGTCTTAAAATAGGTCTGAGCTCACTTCCCTGGGCTATATTTAGAGGGGGCATCTCTGAGCCACGGAAAGGGGCAGAGTGACCCAGATGGGCTGGCCTAGACCACCTACTTGGTGACAGGGCACAAGCAAGAGCATGCCCCTGCTAGCACATAATCCAGGGAACTTCTCTGAAAACCACAGCAGCTCTGTACACACAGAGGCCTTGGGGCCTCCATCCAGGTCAGCATGCGGTACATGCCATGTGGCTGTGACAGGAAAGAAACCCTGCACATCTCCAAGCAGCCATCCCTCCCTCCCATAGACCTCCACCCACAGCCCAGCCACCTCCTCCCAGCAAACGTGAGATGAGCGCCCCCACTGTGCGGACAGCCAGTACCAGATGTTGGGGGTGGTGGACAACTGGAGTACAATGCCACAGGGATCTGACAGCCCCCCAAATGGACACTCATGCTGGCCAGTAGACAGACTGGGATTAAAAGCTGGTATTTCTAGTATTAAACTGTAGCCTTAGGTAAAGAGAACCTTGAGAGTGGCCTCTGTTTTCCCATCTGTAAAACAGGAGCAAGGGTTCCCAAGCAATTGTACTGAGAATAAAATAATGCAGAGACTTGACTAATGTACTTAGCACGAAGTAGTCTTGGTCCTCCCTCCCGCTCCTCTCCACAAGGGCTTGACAGGCTGCTGGGGGCATGCACAGCAGTATTGCTCACTCTTGAAGGGAGCTGGTCCAGTTTCCAGGCCTTAGTCAGTGTGTGAACTCTGTTCTGCTTCTTCTCGACTGTGCAAAGCAAGACTGCGGGGAGCTACCTTCCAAAACATCCTGAATCCATCATGTGACACTCTCATGTTAACCTCTTCCGTCTTCCTCAGACTTGGCGGGCTTATTTCCCGCTCCAAGGCTTTGTGCTGACTGGCTCTTCCATCCTGGAAGGTTCTGCCTCCGGACATCCTGTGACTGGTTCCAAATGCTTCCCTCTTAGCTTTCGGCTAACGTGTCAGCCCTTCAGTGAGTTCTGCACACACTTTTGCCCACAACATCCAGTACTGTTTGTTTGTTCTTACTTCAGAGAGCTTAATCCTGCCATTAATCGCTGCAGAATGCACTAAGCATGTCACCACCCCAGAGGCTCACTGGAGCCAGCCGGATCATCTAATACCACTTTTGATCTTCACTATAGCATTTTTTTCTCTGTAGCTTTGGATCTTGTCCTGGAACTTGTGCTGTGGACCAGGCTAAACACGAACTCACAGAGATGCTCCTGCCTCTGCCTCCCCAGTGTTGGGATTAAAGGTGAATGCCACCACTGCCAAGCAGGAGGGCAATCTTGAATGAGAAAAATTCAGGATTTAAGACTGCTAGGACAATACCCGAGACTCCCAGCAAGGTCAAGGACTAGCTGTTATCTGCTGGGGCCATTCCAACGTCATCTGATAATGTGTTTATTGCATTACTTTAGTACAGGTGCCCTGCCTCACTCCAACCCACAGTCTAATCTGCTACAGCTTCCTGCTCACTGCCCAAGAGAATGCTTCCCCCAGGGCAGGCACCCAAGACAGCTCCGGGGCCCTGGTCTACTCCAGAGCCCCACTTCTCTGTCCCCTCCCTCCAGGCTAGATCCTGAATTGAGCCTGGGCCACGCTTCTGAGGCTACATTGGCGGGTTATCTTGTTAATAAATAAGCTGGCTCGGCTACCCTTTGGTCAGGGCCTATGTATGAGTTAGGTGTTTCTACTGGTCCAAGGACCTCAGTGTGCCCCAGCCACAACTCATGTCTGTGTGCCCCCTCTTCTGAGTGTCACATCCAGCCTGGTCCCCGGTGTGATGACAACCCAGTCACCAGTGTGCTGCACTACGTGGCCCACGCTCAGCACGCAGCTCGGAGGCGTGCATCCGCCTGTTGCGACCCTTACGACGCGATTCCGTTGCCACAGAGTGGGGTCCGGGCTGCGGGTGGCACATTCGCAGGGAGTTTGCCCCTCCGCTGCCGCCTGGCTCCACCAGTTGCAGAAAGTCCCGGTACCAGAGTTTAGGGCCTGGTGCTGCGGGGGCTGCTGCCTCCTCAGCCCGCGCCAGCCGTTCGGCCTGTACCGCACTCAGCACGTGCAGCACCAGGCGGCGCAGTGGCTGTGAAAAGCCTTGCTCCACCGCGACGCACAGGTACACGCCAGAGTCCTGGCGCCTCAGACCGCGCAGCAGCAGCCCCCGCGCAGAAGGCTCGGCCCTCTCACCAGCCAGCACCTGTGTGTGGGAGCAGGCACAGAGACAAGCAAACGGTCACTGGGAGCCAGAGCCGGATGGCCGAGGAAAATAGGTGGTGGCAGGTCCTCTCTAAAGGCGAGGCGCACAGGCAGGAAGAGGTAGCCTTCCCACGAAGATCAAGGGTCACTAAAATGGGGCATGAAATAGACTAGAAACCTCAATACACGGGTGGGTTGAGAGCCCTCTCCTTCCAGATGGGAGAGCGTAGGCCAGGAGTCTAGCTGGATTCAGTGGGGCATCCCTGGTGGAGTTCGGCTAAGGACAGACAGGGAGGGGCCTGTGGTGTGGAGCCTGACTGAACTGGACTTCTATGGGGGACAGGCCAAAGACCTCCTTAGGCAGGACATGGTATCTCTCGGTTGGGCCTGGTTAGGAAGGGCGGGGGGGGGGGGGGCACACCTGGGTGTGAGCCGCCTCCCCCGCACGATGGAAGGTCCACTGCACATGCGCCTGTAGCGAGCGAGGCTCACACTCCAGAAAGACGCTGCCACTCTCCACTCCTAAGATCTTCCGCTCCAACAGCGCAGGGTGAGAGGAATCTGGGGACAAGAAGGTAAAACTCAGACGAGGCAGGGCTGGGTGTGGCAATTTCAAGGCCTGAAGTTGGGAGCTGATGGGGTACTCACCCCCGGAGCACAGAGTGCTGGGGTCACCATTCCTTATGTCTTGCCTCCGGAATCTCCTGAGGGAAACATTAAAACGTGTGAGCCCTTCTCTGCTGGTGCAGAGCAGCAGGAGACCCCCTCCCAGTGGCCCAGTCCAGGCTCCAGCCCACCTCTTGGCAGTAGGCTGGAAGCGTGTGCAGGTCGATCCATCCCAAGCACAGTAAGGGTCACGGGCCAGGCAGCATTCTGCGCAGGCGCGGCCTAGGGCAGTGCAGCGGTGCAACGCAATCTGGGCCACCCCACTCGGTGATCCTATGTAGAGCTGGTGCTAGAGGGCATAAGAGTCTCCAGTCTGACTGAAGACAGCCTTTGCCAGGCTCCCTTCAGTCAGATAGCCTTTCCCCCACTTGACAGATGGGAACACTGAGGTCTCCAGTCTGACTGAAGACAGCCTTTGCCAGGCTCCCTTCAGTCAGATAGCCTTCCCCCCACTTGACAGATGGGAACACTGAGGTCTCTTTGTCTAGCAAAGCAGAAACAGTATCTGAACTCTGGGCTGTGAAAACTGGAGAAGTAAGACAACTGGAGGGCTGGTGACACACTTCAGGTCATCCTCAGAGTTCTGTCACTCACCCTTTTAGAGGAGATTTGCATGCTGGTGATGGTGGCAGAGTCCTGGAAGAGAGACAGGACATGGGGATCAGTGCTTAGTGGGCTGGGGTGATGAGTCCTAGGGTGACCGGGGATGAACCCTCACCTCAAACACCTGCAGCTCTTCCAGGAGAAGTCCCTCAGAGTTAGGCCGGCTGCCCTTGGGGACTGAGATCACTTTCAGCACTGTGCCCACGTCTGTAGAAATTAGAAGAGTGACTTGCTTTTCCCTGACAAGTCAAGGGTGCGACCACATGTGTGTTGTAGAATATTATTTTAACTGGACAAAGATGTGTTACACTTGTTTATGCTAGGGAATAGTACTTCAGCCGTATAAAGGTGTTACATTTGTTTCTGCTGCCTTTGTTAATGATGCAAGGATGTGTTACATTTGTTTATTCTGCATTTGTTTTCATTGTGTAAAGATGTGTTGCTGTCAACTTGCCTGCCTAAGGCACCTGATTAGTCTAATAAAGAGCTGAATGGCTAACAGCTAGGCAGGACAGGGATAGGCGAGGCTGGCAGGCAGAATAAATAGGAGAACAAGAGAATAGAGAAGGAGGGAGAAAGAGGAGGCGCCAGCCAGCAGACACAAGAGTAGGACATACAGAAAAAGGTAAAAAGCCCCGAGGCAAAATGTAGATGAAGAGAAACAGGTTAATTTAAATCAGAAAAGCTAGTCAGAAACAAGCCTAAGCTAGGCCGAACATTCAAACTAACAATAATAGGTCTCCCTGTCATGATTTGGAAGCTCGTTGGTGGCCTAAGAGAAAAGGCTTGGTACACGTATGTATGTGAACTTTCATCACAGTCAAATCACAAAAAAGGGAAAATTGTAGGTTGGAGCAACTAGGGCAGCCTTCAGAAAGTGGGCCACAGTCCAGACAAAGACTAGGTGTTAGACAAACGGGCCACAACTTCTACCTCCAGGCCAAGGAACCTGGAGGGACTCTGCGTCCTAAGGGCTGCTGGGATGGGACCCTGACCTGTGCCAATGAAGAGAACATCGTAGTGGCCATCAGCAGCTGCCACGCGGTCTGCAGCGATTTGGGTGAAGGTGTACCCAGCTCCCACTTGGAGGAAGAGAGGGCGCCCCCCCACAGGCAGGACTGAGTTGTACATGAGAGGGTGGTTCCGAGCAAACTGGATAACGTCATCTGGGAGGTCCTTGGTGGAACCGAAGGTGCCAAACGTCTTGCTGGGGCACTAGGGAAGGCAAGGCAGGCCAAGCAGAGACACACACAGGGGTTTGGCGGTCATCCCAAAGTCCCCAGAGGAATGAACGGAGGAAAGGGACAAGGGCCCTGAGTGTTTGAGCCTTTCCCTGGTGAAACCTAGGCTGAGGAGGCACATGGTCTCACTCTGCAGTCTGTCTTATGATGGTGACATTTCCCTACCCATACTAAAAGGAAGAAATCAGAGTCCCCTCCCCACCCAAAAAAAAAAAAAAAAAAAAACCCAGGCCAAAGTCACGTCCTCTACCCTTGAGACTTTGAAACTCAAGCAGTCCCTAGCAACGCACCATGCCAGGTCGTGGGTAGGGGACACGGCCCTGGTAGGACACCCACTGATGCATAGGCCCCTCCTTGTGAGCGAAGGGTCCCAAGAAGGCTCGGCGCACGTCATTCATGCTGTACACGCAGACGGCAGAGCCCTGAAAGACGCCACTGCAGGCGACCAAAAGAGAGAGGTGAGGAGCCCCAGCGAGCCAAACTCCTGCTCCAGGGAACGGCCACGCCCTGCCCCTCACCTGGAGGTGGAGAAGACGGCATAGAGAAGCGGCGTCGGGCGGTCCCGGGAGGACAGAAGAAACACGTCCTCTGCAAGGAAGGGAGAGGTTGCTAGGGCAGTACACACACACACACACACACACACACACGCCCCAGGCTCCGGGATCATGCACCTTTGACCTCCCCTCATGCCACCCCTGGTTTAAGACACTCACGAAGTTGGTCAAAATGGGTGTCACCCTCAACTCCAGGTACTGAGCACACCAGCCTCGCCTTCAGAAATGTGGTCCATTTGTTGACCAAGCTGCGCTGGCCACCCAGGTCATTCTGCTCACAGGATCAGAACGGATGAGAACAAGACCAGAGCAGGCAAAGGGTCAGCAGGGGCAAAGGCAGCCAGGGAGCGAACGGCCCAGTGTCTCTTACCCTGCAGATCTGGCCAACACGAGACACAGTCATGCGTCCCATTGCTGGTGCTGCTTCCACTGCAGATTCACGGAAAAAGAAATAGATTTTATCGTCGTCAGGGTTCTCACTCTCTGGGATCCAGAAGACCTTGACAAACTTGGGTTCTAGACAAAACAGGAGACATGGTATCAGCGGGTGCTAGTCCTGGCTCCAACATTTTACCCATCTGTAGAGTCCCTATGATCAGCTTCTGCAAGGCAGGACGCAGCCACGAGGGGGCAGTGGAGACCATAGCTACAAGCACAAGCAGGCTGCCCCTCTCCCCTTTACAGGGCTTCTGACCATGCCACACTTCCTTACATTTGCCAGGAAAAGAGGGAGATGGGGTATCTGTTTTCACTTTCGTTCATAAATCTTCCTCCCCATCAGATCAAATACTCCCTGTTCCTCCTTCAGTTGCCCCTACTATCCCATAGGAAAGGACTCCAGCTCTTGAGAGTCTAGGTCTCCTATAGACACTAGTTCCATGGGTCTGCTTCTTTGCTGACTCTTGTCTCCAGGCCTTTGTACTAGTCATTCCCCTTACCTGGGATGCTCTTCCAATTCTGCTGGCTGTGTTCTGTTAATAACTCATCCCAACAAGTAGCTTCCCTGACTCAACCCAAACTCCCTTTCCCTTCTCTGTTCTTTCACTGGTGTCATGGCCACTGGGATTTATCTCCTCATATATTTGTTTTGAGATCCATGGACTCAAAGGTGCCTGCCTGTCTTGTGACCGTGGCACAGGGCCTGGTTATGATGACAGACACTTGCCCTCTTACGATTTCATTGTGTGCCACTTCCCTTTGGAGGATGGCAGTTCCCTCCCAGGGACTTCTCACCATTAAGCCAGCGGGAGTCATGGGGTTCTGTCCGGAGACTCGGCTTCTGGCCCAGGCTGCGAAAGATGGTAAAGTCCCGGCCCATGAGGTCTGCTGCCACCCCTGAGTACAGTTCTCCCCCTGCAGACAGGGCAAGGGGTGCTCAGACAGCTGTGAACTCTCAGGGTAAAAGTACCTGGGGAGCTCTGGGGTGCTCAGGGAGTCAAGACTATAGGGAATCTAAAGGGGTTCCCTCGGGACATGCGATGCTCTAGAATTTCCAGGGGATCTAGCGTTGCATTGGGTGCTGCCTTTGGACTCACCCACCAGCACGGAGGCAGCCCGATGCCTCGGGTCATAAGGACTCTTTCCCTTGCCATCCTCCAGTTTCTTCAGGTCCAGTCGCAGCATGGGTTCCTGGGAGGCGGGGAGCTGTTAGTACCAGGTTCTTCACCATCCTTGCTTCCCCGATGTCTCGTTCTGGTCTTACCTCCAGCCGGTGGCCCACCTCCACAAATGCACAGGTTGGATGGAAGGCCCCTGTGCCACAGGCCAGCAAGTGGGTGTGGTTATAGGCATGCAGCAGCTTCACAAAGTTCATGCACTCCGTCTGGTGGGCAGGTTGGGGAGGGGGGCAGGCAGTCAGGCTTTCCCCAGGGAGGTAGCGCTGAAGAGTTACAGTTCACTAGGCATCCCCACCTCTTCCTCTGTCTGCATTAGCTCAGGGAAGCACTACCAGGAACCACAGGGACCTGAGTGCCCTTCCTCACAAATCCTGCCTGTCTTCACAGGGTGACCACATGAGGAAGCGTAGATATGCACAGTCCCCCCATGACTCAGAGGAGAGGCCCCCAGGAAGAGCCACCCTGACTCACCACCTTCAGACCTCATCCGCCTTGACCTTCCTGCCCTTACCCCATCCAGCACAGGCTAGCCTCTCTCTCAGCCCTGGGATGAGAGGGCCCACCCCACTTCCACACGCCCGCCTTTGGGGACCCACACTCACACCAATGTCCTTCCCTGCCCAGTTACACTCTTCTCGCCATTCCACGGGGGCCGGCCAGGCCAGCTGCAGGGAGGGAACACAGGTTAGGGACTTGGAATGCTCTTCATTTTGAGGGTTTCTCTTTTCAGCTGTCCACCCCTTTGGGTTTCTCTAGAGTCTAGACGGTCTGGAGCAGAATCCCAAGGCTTTTTCCTGAGATAGCGCTGAAGTTGGGTAAGGTTGGGGGGTGGGGTCCCTGGCACCTTCTTGGCTCTCTTGCTGATGTTATCCAGGCTGAGGGAAGCCACATGGTTCTCCGCACCAACAAACAGGCGTCCACGCTCCTCATCCACCAGCAAGGATTCATAACAGCAGGTTCGCTCCAGCCTGAAGGTTCGGATACCATGCTGGGTCTGTAACTCTGCAGGGAGAAATGCCACTGAGTACTTGCCTGTCATAACAGGAACAACCATCTTCAAGGCCCTGCCTGGTTGTCTGTCTACAGATCAAGGTTATCTGTGCGATCCAAGCCACACACGTGTACAGTTATATACATGTGAGCTTACACATATGAAGACTGGCCCACCCAGATGCATGTACAGAGTCATAGGAGAGATGGTGCAGTCCCCAGTAAGGAGAAAGCAGATCCAGGAAAACATGTACAGACAAGTGGGCTCCATGCTGGGGGCCAGGCTCATGGAGTCTTCAGGTTCGAGGCTAGGTAGAGCAAGCAGAAACAAAAAAGACAGAAACCCATTCCTAAAAAGTCAGGCTGAGGATCCCTTTCCAGTCACTATATTACCAGCTACCAGCTTGGATTCAGCAGTTAGCCACCAATGCCACTGCCCAGGGACTACCCTCTGTGCAAGGGGTATAATAAGAAAGGGGCTCCGATGGTCCCAGAACCTTGACTTCCTTACCAAAGAGGCATGGCTTGCCTTGGGATGGGAGATGAGGCAGAGACAAAGACTGTTGCTATGGAGACAGTAGGGATCCTCCTTGGGAAAGCATGAGGAGAATGTAGGCAGAGAGGTTGGGGGGTGAGGTTAGGACAGGGTTAACTGGAGATGGCCTAAGAATGCCCCCAACCCAGCAAGAGTCTGGTCAGGGCATGCACATACTGGTACCAGCAAGTCTTTCCATACTGGGCCCTTTTCCTGTTCACTCCAATCGGGCCCTCCATCTGCTAGGTGCACCTACCTTGAAAGGAGAGGCGAAGGCGGGGAAGGTTAGGGGCAGCGTCCCCGAGCCCCACTGCCCAGAGAAGAGCCAGGCCTGGGATCATGGCGGCGGCCTCAGCCCGCCCCATGCCGGCAGCTCAGGGCGCTCAGGGTTCAGCAGGCGTGTGTGGAGGAGCCTTCAGCTGCCCTGGACTCTGCCCCAGGATCTGGAAGAGAAGAGTCGGCAGAGAGGGTAAGGGCGGGAGGGCATGGGGGAGTCCCAAGGGATCAGATTACAGCCCCTAGGGAAAGAGGCTGGGGGGTCGCATACCGTTTCGTCTCCACCAAGGGTGCCCCGCCTGGCCACAATCAGAGACACACCCACACCGGGCACACCCTCAGGGTCACCCTGCATTGGCAGGCACCCGCCCCACCACGTCACCCTCGTCAGTAACCTCCCCTCCTCTACACACACTCACAAACATTAATTCACAAACACTCTGCACCCACTTCATGCCAGCCTGGGGCAGGGACGAGGAGACTGACGACATGGACAAGGTCCCCAGGCTGTAAAGGGCAGAGAGCCAACAAGGAGTCAGATCTTGTGGTCATTTCAGAGGGCACCAAGTGCAATGAGCAAAGCAGCTGATGCAGGGAGACTGGCAGCCGGGGGTGAGGCCTCTGGGGATGCTGTGCACCCACACACAGGGAGGGAAACGCGGAGGGCACTTGTGGGACCGGAGCCAAGGTTGCGGTGCCTTCAGATGTGAATATGTTTCTGAGGGTCCCTTTTTGAACAAGCATATATGAACAGTGTGTACATACACACACACACACATATATATATGCCTATGAGCAAACATGTCACATCCGTGTAGATGTAAGTTGGGTATGCAAATGTGCATACATACATGTGGTATTGTGTTGTGCAAATCTATTCAGTGTGTTCCAGCGTAAAGTATGCCTGTTTGGTACGTGAGTCACATCTGTGCATGGGCTGATGTGTGGACTTGCATAGTGGACATGCAAGGGAATAAGGGAATACAAAAGCAGCATCAGTCACTCCTTTGACTCATACACACACATCCCATATTCTTCCCAGGACCCCCATCCAGACCCAGGCCAGATTTAGCAGGCCAAGCTCTGACGGACCGTTTCTTCTCTGCAGCCTGAGGGTAGAGGAGCAAGGCACACAGAGAGTGAAGTCAGGCTTGAGAGGAAAGAGGACAGGGCAAGGTGACCTCTCCGGCTCACCTTAAGCTCCGGGTAGAGCAATGATTTGCACTCAAAGTTCCTTCCAATTCTGGGTCTTAAGTTTCTCTGTCTTTGAGTCCCTCCACTGACCCAGGCACCTCCCCTGTCACACTAGGTTCTGGCTGTTCTGGTCACTCTCCTTTACAGGAGCAGGCAGGACAGGTTGGGCACAGGGGCCAAGGTCACAGATCCCTCCTTCCCCATTCTCCCCACACCCCTCAGCTTCTAGACCCCTCCAGGGCAGGACCCCTATCTCTCTCCTTCCATTTGCTGACGCTGCCTCTGCCTCTTCTCAGGTTCTAGAAGTCTGTGAGGCTGACATGGACTGCCTTCCCACACTCCTCCAAGAACTCTGCAAAGGGGTCCCCCACCCCACCCTAACCCCTCTTTCCTGGAGAAGGGGAGCAGGCTACAGCCCACAGGGCACCCTCTGACGGCTCCTTTAAGTAGAAGCCCCCGCCCCCACCAGGCCAGCCACCGCCCAGAATACCATAAAGTTTGCAGGGCTACAGGGTGGATCGGGTGACCGGCACAGGCTACTGGGACTGGCTGGAGACGGTGGCCCCGCAGGGGTGGAATGGGAGCAAGGGTTGGGCAGGTAGAGGTGGCCCTCTCCTGCTGGATCTCAAGCTGAAGGGAGCCCCAGAGAGACAGAAGCCCCAGAAACCTGGCAATCAGTTAAGGCAAAACAGGTAGAAACAGCAGAGACCCTCCCTCCCTCCCAGTTCTGAGCAGCAGACAGAAGGAATAAGAACGGTAGGTCAGGCACTCCCATAGTCCACACCTGTCCCTCGTCCTCACCTGTCCCTCCACAGCTGAGGGATGAGTTCCCTCCCAGGAGCTGGCTGGGATAGGTGGGTCAGAGGTCAGGGAAGGCACTCTCCCCTCTTCTGGGCCCCAGCTGCTTCCTTACCAACTGAACCTCTCTTGGACCTCCTAAACCTTCAGCTGTCTGGCCCGAAGCAGCAGCAGAGATGACAGCCAGGCAGAGGGGCGGGGAGAATGCAGAAAATCTCACTTCAGCCGAGAGAGAGTGTGGGCCCAGTCCGAGAGCCCAGCCTGGCTGGCGCTCGGGCAGACTGTGAGCAGGTGGATAGCGGTGGACTCCTGCTTCTCTTCCAAGCTGGGAAGACTGCCCTGCCCATTGAGCCCAGAGTCAGGTACCCGAGGGGAGTTCTGCAGGGTTATTTTTCTTCGTTTGAAGACAGGGTCTCCTGAAGACTGGGCTAACTTCCAACTTGCTGTGTAGTAAATGGTGGCCTTCAACTCCTCTTCCTCCTGTCTCTGCTTCTCAAATGCTGGGCCAGGTGTCAGGCAGACGGCTTTCACACAGGACAGACCCCCTGCAGGTGTCAGGCAGACAGCTTTCACACAGGACAGACCCCTACACTTGGCTTTGGTGCCCAGATTGGAAGGTACCCGGGGTCTTGTCCAGTAGCCTGTTCTGGAAAACACTCCCTGTTTTCACTCTTAGGAGCACTTTAAAGGGGCTGGATATGGCCTCAGTCTCCCCAAGGCTGATAGCAGGGCCTCAGCGGTCAGGAGGCCTCCAGCCTTGGTTACATGTCACAGGTGCTGGGGCACTTCAGCTGTGCAGTTTTGCTACAAACTGCCTGGGTGTCATCCAGTCAGAGATAAAGGGACACAGGCAGAGATAAGGGGTGACTTATCTTCCCAGGAGTCTACTATGAGGCCTTGCCTCAGGACCCAGTGTTCCTGGCCTGCCTATCTAGTGGCAGTAGGAGAGACTAGGGCATTCAGGAGGGAGCCTAGAGGAACTCGAGACTTCTAGGATGAGGACTTGCCCTGCTCCTGGGCTAGCTGCCTCTCCCCATGGACCTGGGCAGCCTCCTCTGGCCTCATGCAAGCAAACAACATTCTTTGGCTGTTTACAATTTTCCACCCAGCAGCCAAGATCAGCAAGTGCCTTTGAGGCCCCTGCCCACCCCCGCTGTGTCCCCAGTGTGCCCAGACTGCCTCCAGTTCTCCAGGCCTAGGGGCCCAGGTCACACTTCCTTTATTTCCTGCACCAGAGCAGGTATTCACCCTGGGAGACAGCACCAGAACCCATTATCGTTCTGACAACCCGACACTCGGTTCCCAGCTCAAGGGAATGAACTGTTTCTGGCCCGCTCAAGCCAGGCTCCTGCAGCTATGTCTCCTCCCTGGAAGAGGATGGGATGGGCAGCAGGCTCTTCACGAGATCTCTTTTCTACCCCCTAGTCCCCGGTTTCATCGTGTCAGGTGGGGGGGAGGGGGGCCCCTTAGAGGCAGCACCGCAGGTGATGGAATCCAGGTGACACTACCAGACTCCTCACGACTCCGGAATAAGGCAATCTTGATCTGGGTCTGAAACCAGGAGAGGCAGCTGGGCCCCTGCTTACGCCCCTGCTCAGGGACATCTGGGACATCCACTAGTACAGGTCTGCCTGGGTTCCTCCTGCAGACTGTCCATCAACAGCACAGCCTGCCAAGGCTTTGGCTTTTCCTTTTGGAAATAACTGGATTGTTGCAGCAAGTCATAGTAGCATTTGCCTCCCCCACTCCACCCCACCACTAAGCCTACCCCTTTGCACCCTGCTGGGACTGCCCTTGGCGAGGCTGCAGGAGGATGCTCATCTGATGAAGGTTGTCTGGGCACATGCCAGGGCTCTGGGCTGGGTGGGAGCGCGGGCTTCCCATTCACACCTGCTTTTGCAATCAAGGCTGGCGGTGCCGCGTCACAACCTTCCCCCGTCGGCCACGTGGGCACTAGGTCATGCGGCTGTGAGGACTGAGTGGTCAAGGCACAGCCACCGAGAGCTTCCTGACAGTGTCTCACCTGCCCCCAGCAAATCTCCTGGGAAAAAGTCCGGGACTGGCAGGACATTCTCCACCCACAAACCCCAAGTCTGGTCTCCATGGTCCAGGAGACCCTCGGCCCACCTTTTGGAAAGATCAGTTCCTCCCCTCCTTGCCTGTTGCCCTTGCCTTCAGTGGGCCATGTCAGAGCTGAGGTGAAGGGGTGGCAGGAGGGGCCATCAGGAGCTTTGGGCCTCTAGCTGCGGCCCTCCCCCGACTGGCTCCACCCCTGCCTGCCTTCCCTCCGTCCCTCCCTCCCTCGTGCACATTCCTCCCAGGCTGAGGTCAGCCCCTCTGGGATGGGGAGTCCCCCCCCCCAACCAGCCACATCACTGCTCCATGCTCACTCCTGTTTTCTTCATTGCCCAGCACAGCGGGGTGGGGAGTGGGGGTGGGGCCTCGCTCGACAGCCTTTGAGGGAGGGGCTATACCAGGAAAGCTGCAAGAGTAGACAGTGTGACACTCCAAACTCATCAGGCATTTACACATGACATTTACATAAATACTACATTCCCTAGGCTGGATAAAGAGAGCCTCCCTGGAAGCCCTGATTTGGGGGGCAGGGTGCTCTGTATGCTCTAGGAGGAGTTGAAGATGCTGGGAGATCTTCAGAGCCTGTTCAGGGCAACTTTCTTCCCCTCAAGACAGTTTTCTCTGTGTAGGCCTGGCTGTCCTGAAACTCTATTTGTAGATCAGTCTGGTCTTGAACTCACAGATCCGCTGCCTGCCTCTGCCTCCCAAGTGCTGGGATTAAAGGGATTAAAGGCATAGGCCACTCACCACCTGCCACCTTTTAGTAGTGCAGGAAGAGACGGGACTGAATTCAGACACTGCAGTTCATCGGTTGAGTATGCAGAGGTAGAGTCTGAACCTTACAGCTCACTCTCCCTATTGGCTTTACTGTGGCCACTGGGTCAAGCAGGCTTGGTGCATGCTAAAGGAACATGCTAGCACAGGTCTTCTCTGCCACAGCTACACCCCAGGCTCAGGCCTCACTCCTCTCCCACCCTGCACAGCCACTTTCTCCACCCTCAAACCACTATGCCCAGGGCTTCATCGGAGTCTCCCTCCCTCCCCTGGGGAGTCATCAGAGTTCTCAGAAATCCCCCATCAACCCCAAGCAGTACCCAAGACCAGCCCTCCTAGAAACTCTATCATAGGTCTTGTTGAAGATAGGGCAAGACCCTACCTGCCTCCTGCCCCTGGCTGGGTTCCTGGGGTCAACCTTGGTAGTACCTTGCTTCTACATCCTGACGTGGTTCGCAGAACTTGTAGGGACTGCAGCCCTTGGCCTGGGTCCACAGCGCATCCCTAGATCAGCCTTGCCATTCTTGTAGTGCTCCAGCCGCCTTATTCCTGGAACGTGTGCATCTTTGGTTGCCAATATGTTACCTGGAGCCGGGCGGTGGTGGTGCACGCTTGCCTTTAATCCCAGCACTCGGGAGGCAGAGGCAGGCGGATCTCTGTGAGTTCGAGGCCAGCCTGGTCTGCAAGAGCTAGTTCCAGGACAGCCTCCAAAGCCACAGAGAAACCCTGTCATGAAAAACCAGGGGAAAAAAGTGTTACCTGGGCTGCGCCCTGAACCCTTTAGCGTCACCTGCTGGGCTTGTCTTTACAATTCACTAGCCACCTTGGCTATCATTCTTCCTCTGTGGGAGATTCCTGTTGCATCATTTCAAACCTCAGGACCAGGCCCTAGGTTCTCCACAGTGGGAGCAGGAGCAGGGGCCATCATCCCTGGGGACCCTACAATCTGGAGATGCCCAGCAAGAGAGCAAGCCTGTAGAAAAGCTTTCCACTTTCCAGGGTCTCCTAGGTCACCATGAGGCTCAGGGATTAACGGAGAAGATAGATCTCAGGTCTCCCTTTCACTCCACCCCAGGTCTCCCAAAACTGACTTTCCCTCAACCCTGATGAGATCAGGTGTAGAGAGATATTTGACCAGGCACAAAGGGCCTAGGGGCCAACAGGTCCTCACTGGACTAAACCGGCTATCTGAGCATGCAGTAGTAGTTTCCCCATACTGGACCAACCTAGGTCTGCCAAGGGCCCCCAGCAACAGCTGCTGTGCCATGAGACAAGATGAGGGAACCAGACTCCAGCCGCCATGAAAGACCCTGATGCCAGTGTTGCAGCTTTCCCTTCCCCTGGGCAGGTGGGGTATAAGGCTTTCCCCTTCCTGAAATAAACCAAGCTTGCTTCACCCAACAAGTCTCCCAGAGTCCGTGACCCCACCCATCGACTCTGTGCCTACCCGTCCCCTCCCCCAAGGGGAAGTTCAGTAGGACAAAGCAGGAGATCCAAGCAGCAGTCAGGAAGCAGAGATGGGAGATGATGCCAAATTATGATTTTTCTCCCAACCAAGATTACCTGCAAGGCTGCATCTCCACTAACAGTAAGAACTTAGCACAGGGCCAGGCATTGGTGGCACACGCCTTTAATCCCAGCACTCGGGAGGCAGAGGCAGGCGGATCTCTGTGAGTTCGAGGCCAACCTGGTCTACAAGAGCTAGTTCCAGGACAGCCTCCAAAACAATACAGAGAAACCCTGTCTCGAAAAACCAAAAAACCAAAAAACTAACAACAGGGGGAGGAGGACCAGAGAGATGGCTCAATGGTTAAGAACACAGGTTGCTCTTGCAGAGGATCCAGGTTCAATTCCCAACACCCACATGGCAGCTCACAACTGTCTGCAGTGTAGCTCAAAGTGATTTGACACTCTCATAGAGACATAAATGCAGAGCAAAACACCAATGCACATAAAATAAAAATAGTGAAGTTAGGGGCTGGAGAGATGGCTCAGAGGTTAAGAGCACTGACTGCTCTTCCAGGGGTCCTGAGTTCAATCCCAGCAACCACATGGTGGCTCACAACCGTCTACAATTCAATCTGGTGTCCTCTGGCATGTAGGCAGAACAATGTATATGTAATAAATAAATAAATCTTTAAAAAAAATAGTGAAGTTAAGACAAGAAGAAGGAACCGTGGTCTTCACCTCTGTCCCCCTTGAACACTGATACCTATCACTGTGTGACTGAGGCTGATTGTCTGGCAGGCATGCATATGCTTGCTGTAACACAGCTGTACACATGCCCCAACTGGCTGGAGGCCATCACCCTGAGCACACGATGGCACACGATGGCGACTGCCTTCCATTCTAATTGCAATGGCGTTGGGGAAGATGCAGACCCACAAGGCAGTGATGAAGGACCTAAGATCTCCCTCAGACACAGGGATTCCTGTCAGTGTTTGGGGGATGGGCTTAAACACAGAACTCAACAAAAGACACTATAGTCTTATCATCATGCCTTCCTATCTCCCAAGGCCACTGGGATCCTGGCTGGCCATGCCACTGATGTCAGGGCTGTTAGTTAGGCTTAAGCCTGAAGTAGCCTGACACTCTTGGTCTAAGGGTGTATATGTAATGAATTTTGAGGGACATCAGAAGTTAGGACTCTGGGGCTGTCGAGATGGCTCAGTAGGTAAAGGTGCTTGGCCACCAGACCTGATACTCTGAGTTCAGTCCCCAAAACATACATAGTGAAAGGAGAGAACTGAATCCCACAAGTTGTCCTCTGACCTCCACAAGCATGTTGTGGCACACATGTGGGAGACACCACACACACACACACACACACACGCACGCACGCACGCACACACGCGCACACACACACATACACACACGCACACACACGCACACACACGCACACACGCACACACACATATATACACACACGCACGCACACACACGCACACACACATACACACACATACACACACGCACACACACGCACACACACACACATACACACACATACACACACGCACACACACATACACACACATATACACACACGCACGCGCGCACACACACACGCACACACACACATACACACATACACACACGCGCGCACACACACACACACACGCACGCACACTAGCAGATGTACATAAGCAAATGTTAACGTAAAAAAAGTCTTAGGTCAGGGTTGGGGATTTGGCTCAGGGGCAGAGCTCTTACCAAGCACAAGCCCTGGATTCAGTCCTCAGCTCCAGGAGCAGGGGTGTCTTGGTCTGTTTTGAAACATGGTGAGGCATCCCATCAGGGCTGTGCAGTCACAGAAGCCCTGGCTGTAACCCCAGGACACCTGCCTGCTGGGCCTGCCTTCTCCCCACAAGTCTCCCATAAGCTCCCCTCTTTAGGCCTCTGACTCTCAGGGGGGTTCTTCCTCTCTTCCCAGCTGTTCCGCAGCCCTACAAACAGGTTAAAAATACCAAGGCCACTGCCAACCACATCAGTAGGCCAGCAACTATTTCAAGTGAGCCAGGCTCTCTTGGAGGCAGACCAGACTCGTGGCAATCCTCATAGGCTGGGGACTGCCCACCCTACACTGAAAACAGGAGTTTGGGTCCCTACTTGGCTTTCCACATCCTGCTAAGTGCCTTGGACCTCATATTGCAGCTGGCCATGGGTGTGGACATTGGGAGAGTTCTACAGAAAGGACTCAATTTCTCTTTCCTCACTCAGCTGTTTCTCAAGAAAGGAGGAACGCCAGGCCAAGCCAAGAACAACTCCAGGCAGTGGTGGATGTCTGCCTCACTGGGTACCCCAGTTCGGGTTCAAGATACCTGGGCGGTCCTTCTTGCAACCCCCTTACCCCCCACACATGGCTGGGAGTTTCCCACCAGCTAAAGAAAGGCGGAATTGAGAAGCCGCCCCCACCAGTCCTGAGACAATGGAGCCTTATGCCCTCCAAACCAGAGCTGGGGGGGAAGAGCCAAGGGCAGGTGGGGCCTAACTGTCTGTACCGGGGTAAGCTCTGCTTGCCAGAACCACACCCAGACCCAGTGCCAAGTGAGATCCCAGGGGATCCAGACCAGAGCCCTAGATGGCCCACCCAGGCAGGGAGGCACCGGGTGCATCAGACAGACAATGCCAGTCCCTCAATGGTCCTCTGTGCAGGGTTCCCCCTCAGGACAGAAGGAAGGAACCATCTCCGGTGCTTGCTTCCTGCTGGGTGGGTATGGTGCCCCTGGAATAACTCCAGCCCGCCTGCACACACTGGGGGTTCAGGCCTGAGCCTCTGAAGGAACACAGGGATTTGGGGGATGGCGCAGGATCCTGTTCTTGTCTGTCGTACCCCGTGGCAGAGAGAGCCGGAATGGCCTGAGGAACTGTGGCGGAGGAGAGGCCGAGGAAACAGGCGCTCCTTCCGACACGCCACCGCAACCTTTCATCTCCTGCCAGCTTTAGAAACCCGGTGGCCTGTGGCCACTGACAGGTGTAAGGAGGCGAAGTCCCAGGTTCCGGGTCCAATCCCTCCCTCCCTTCCCCGCCTCCGCGGCGCCGACCCTCGCTCGCCCCGGGACCCAGTCGTTTTGTCAGGCCGTGGGCGCGGAGCCTCCAACGCCATACAAAGCTGCTTTTGTGTCCGGCGTCCTCCACGGGACCCGGTGACGTCAGCCTCCGTGACCAGCTCAGCAGCAGAAAGGGCTGCGGCGCCCCCTGGCGGCAGGCGGCAGAGACCTGGAGCTCCGCCCAGTTGGGGCCGCTCTTTCGCCTACTACTCCCAGGAGCTGGCTCAGCACGCCGCTGCCCCTGCTGTTCCTGGAAGAAAACCCAGGCATTTAGCACGGTACTGTGCCCACGCCCATTCCACAGGCACCCAGCATTTTGTTTTTCGCGATCAACCTTCCAACGACAGACCTCCATGAACAGCCTGTCCCTGCCTCTCTGATTTGGCGAGGTGGTATTCTAACCCTTACTTTTTTCTACAAAATGTTTTAGCATATGTTAATTATACATAATAATGGTTCATGGTGACGTTTCAACATGCATAACATGCGTTTTTATCCTATTAACCCCCTATTACACTCTCCTTCATCTTGCACGTCCACTGATGTCCACTGATCCCCTTCCTCTCCCCAACTAGTCCTTTTTCCACTTCAAATTTTTTTTTTTTGAGACAGGGTTTCTCTGTGTAGCTTTGTAGACCAGGCTGGCCTCGAACTCATAGAGATCCGCCTGCCTTTGCCTCCTGAGTGCTGGGATTAAAGGTGTGCGCCACCAAGGGGGGGGGAAAAAAGGTGTGCGCCACCACTGCCAGGCTTCAATTTTTTGTTTTATAAAGTGACACAAGAGTTTCAATAGGCTTGCTTCAAGGAGTATGGATGGATACCTTACCAGGGGCTACCACACTGAAGAAATTCCCTCCCTCCATCTACCAGCTAGTGTCCGTAAACACTGTGGGGAGAGTTGGGCCCTGGTGAGCCGCTCTCTCCACCACGGGTGTTCACAGGCCCTATCCAACCTGGCAAAGTGTCCTACAATTTACCCTCTTGCAGTTCTGTCTTCTTTACAATGTTCCCTGAGCCTTGGAGGTGATACGGGTTTTTGAGTCTCACTATGTAGCCCCAGCTGGCCTGATACTCTTGGTCAATCTCCTGCCTCAGCCTCCTGTATGCTAGAATTACAAGCATGTGCCACTATTACTAGTTTCTCCTGACTTTGTCAAGGGGTGCAGCCCACGTATCTGTGTGACTTCAGCCCCTTTACGCTGTCTTCAAGCTTCTGTGCTAGTGAGTCATTGCCTCTTGCGTTTAGGCTGGCTAGACACCCTGGTGACTCCCAATTTGCACGAACTCCCTAGAAGCGCTCCCAAGTCTGCTCAGAGGTTCTGCGGGACTGAAGGCTGCCTCAGGCCCCAAACTGCAGCTGGGAAGAGTAGGCTGCATAGGCCTAACACGTAAGCTGACCAGTCCAGAGGCGAACTGAAGGGAGCTCTGAGCATGAAGACTGAGCTCTGCCTAGAAAACTGAACGTCCAGGGTCCCACCCCTGGTGAGTCACTAAGGCGTGACCCACCCTCTTCTCGTACAGTTTGACACCTGGGAGAAAAGAACAGCCAGCCGCTCTTGGTGTTTTGTTTCTACATTTTATTATTTCAAATCATGTGAACAATTCCATAAAACATGTGAAAAAAGCAAGGAAGTGTTCAACGCTGAAGGACCCGGGCCTGGGGCGAGGGCTTGAGGGGCCTGGCCCCTCAGCAGGCAGCGGCGGTTCCTAGATTAGCGCTAAGGAGCTACATTTAGGTTAATGGAGCCTGGGCCCAGGGCTTCAGGGCAGGGCCCTCAGTGACATTGGCAGTTGTCTGGAACAGCCCTTGGAATCCAATTCCGAGGAGGGCAGGGCATGGGGGCCGCCCGAAGAGGGATGGGTGTAAACAGGCAGACACACTCAAGGCACAGAATCACTGGGAAAGGACCGGTGGGGGTGGGGTGGGGTGCTGGTCAGGACCTGACAGTTTTAAATAGATTCTCTAAAAAGTTTTCTAGGTTTGCAGTTTTCCTTTTTTTTTTCCTTTCCTTTTTCTTTTTTTCTGTTTTTTTTTTTAAGCTACGAGAATGAGCAGGTGGACTGTGTCTCCAGGAATGGTGGTGTCTCATGCTTCTTGTGCTTTTTCTTTGGGGCCTCCGAGTGGCAGAGGGCAGGGTAGGCAGGAGGCTCCCTGTAAACATTTGGACTTGGGTTAGGGCTGGTGTTGGACAAAGCCGGGGTCTAGGCTGGAGAAGTGGGTGCCCATCTCTCCAGACACAGGCCTTGGGAAACCCTGCATGCGCCCCCTCTCGCCCCAGAACAAGACAACGGTCGGAAAACCAGAAGAGATGCCGTGGAAGGGTGTACCGTGGCCACTCCTGGCACCTTAGACAAGGGTGGGCTGCAAACAGGGAGGCCTGTGGCAACCCCTCCCCCAAGTCTAGAGCCGAGGGAGGGGACAGGGGAGCTGAGAACAGAGAAAAGATGGGAGAAGCCGCTGGGGGACAGGCAGGGAGCATGGCCTTCTTGGCCCCATCTTCCTCAGGGTAGGAGGGAGCAGAGTCGGCGGTGGCCCTGGAGGTGGAGGACAGACAGACACAGCCTGGGTTACTTTGGCTCATCTTCCTGCCTCTCTAGACAACGACCTTCTTCCCCCACATCAGTTGTTACCAGGGACACAGCTGTGCCCAGGGGCCAGCCTCTGTTGCTGGGCTACAGGGTGTGTGTATCAGGGACACTGGCAGTCACTGCATGTACACCAGGGCCAGTGGGGCTAGCCTGGGCCTCGGATTCTCAGGTCTGAGAGACAGATGGCTAAGAACAAGTGTGAAGCTGGTCGCTGAGCGGCCAGGTGTCTTCCTGTCTAGACCAGGCTAACACGACATGCTGGTAAGGAGGCAATTTCTTCCAAGGACACTGCGTAGCCCTCTAGTCTTATTCGGCGGAGAGCCAGGTCCTTCCATTTCCTTCCCTTATCCTCTGGTCCCTACTGGCCTGCCCGCCCTTGCTCCTTCAGGCTGACTACTTCCAAAGAACCTCCCATAAGTCCCCAGTCCCCCCTGAACTCAAGGGTTTCGCCGTGTTGTTTTCCAGCACCTGCCTTGCCTCCTGACTCACCATCCTGCCAGGCTGCTGCCCCTCAGAAGAGGCCACAGTCCTTCAGGTTGTTCTTGATGATGACATCAGTGACGGCATCAAACACAAACTGCACGTTCTTGGTGTCGGTGGCGCACGTGAAGTGTGTGTATATCTCCTTGGTGTCTTTGCGTTTATTCAGGTCCTCAAACTTGCTCTGGATATAGCTGGCTGCCTCATCATACTTGTTGGCCCCTAAGAAAGAGAAATGAAGACTCCTATGTGCTGAAGGCAAGTGAGTTTTTCCCTGCGTGTACAGGAGGGATCTGTGAACATGACAGACAAGCGTATGTGTGCACAGCATGTTCGTGTGTAAGTTCACAAGGGCACATGCTCACAAGTAGAGGCCTGCGTGTGGTAACAAGCCTCCTGTGTGCAGACGGTACACGTTACTGAATGAGCTACCATAAATGCTGTGTTTTTTCCTTCTGTCCAGATGGGGGCATCCATGGGCCACCAGGTCCCCAACGGTACCTCCTGGGAGGGCCACCACCCCACCTGTGGGACAGTCTTCACAGAGCCCCACCTGTGTACTCGGGGAAACAGATGGTCAGAGGGCTCTGTGTGATCTTCTCTTCGAACAGGTCCTTCTTGTTGAGGAAGAGGATAATGGAGGTGTCTGTGAACCACTTGTTGTTACAGATGCTGTCAAACAGCTTCATGCTCTCGTGCATTCGGTTCTAAGGAAAGGACACGGAGTTGGAACTGGAACTCGCTTCTCCCCCTGCCAGGCTCTGTCCCCACCACAGGGCTCTCTCGGTCTCTTACCATCTCCTCATCCTCAGCCAGCACCAGGTCATAGGCGCTCAAGGCCACACAGAAGATGATGGCGGTGACACCTTCAAAGCAGTGGATCCACTTTTTCCGCTCAGATCGCTGGCCACCGACATCAAACATCCTGTGGACATTGGGTCAGCTTAGCTCCAGGGACAGAGCCCAGGGGAGGCGTTCTTGCATTTCACAGGCTACCAGGCCGAGCACAGAGACCAAAGGGGGACAGGTGCCATCATGGCATCATCCACACTCACTCACCACAACCAGGATATGGTCAGATAGGCTGGAGCCACAGGGCACAGGGGCAGGAGAGACTATTAGGAGGAGGCTGACTACTGATAAGCTAGGTGGTGAGAGCCGGGCGTTGGTGGCACACGCCTTTAATCCCAGCACTCGGGAGGCAGAGGCCAGGTGGATCTCTGTGAGTTCAAGGCCAGCCTGGTCTACAAAGTGAGTTCCAGAACAGTCTCCAAAGCTACAGAGAGACCCTGTCTCGGACCCCCCCCAAAAAAAAACACAAACAAAAAAACTAGGTGGTGAAATGTACGGACACGCTTTCCCAACACAGGCCTGAGGACCCTGGGAGGGAATCATGCCCAGTGGCTCCTCGAGCAGCTAGCAAGAGTTGCCCCAGGCCTGTCCATACACCCACTCACTTGAAGTGTAAGTCCTTGAAGGTGAAGTGTGTTTCCACAATGCCCGTGGTTTTCACACGGGTCCGCAGCACATCCTGCTGTGTAGGGATGTAGTCGCTCTGTGCAATGCGCTCCAGGTCATTCAGGTAACTACAGGGAGGGAGCAGAGGGTTAGGCAGGTCAAAGGGAGCACCCTGACCCAGACCCCGGACAGACCAGACCCTGCTTCTTTCTCATCTTCTCCCTTCTTCCTCACCCACCCTCTACTCCAGGCAGGGCCTAGTCTCAAGCCCACAATCCTCCTCGCCTCAGCGCCGGGTGCTGAGATCACAGGTGTGCGCCACTGTGCCTGCCATTCTCGCATCTTTAACCCTTGCCTGCTTCACAATTGTTAGTGAAACAAACGCGGACTCAGTTCCCTCATTTCCCATCTATAGAATGGGACTGAGAGAAGGGTTATGGTTCTGTGACCCTAGCAGTCAGGGTCTCAACTTGACCTGCACCCAATAGGACCCAGAAAGTCGGAACCATAAGTAAAAAGTGGGGGGGGGGGCAAATTAGT